AAAACTATAGCAATTAACAACTAATACTTTGAAAAGGAATCCATAAGCGAGCATTATTAAAAGTATAACAAAGACCACAAGATAAAGCATAACTCGGGGTCCAAAAAACTATTTCAAAAGATTAAAAAACATTAATTAGTACTCCGAGGTACTGCTTCATTGAACAAAATAATTATAAAATCTGTTTCCCGTTTTTGCATTTTATATATGTATATAAATATATATACCATTAAGCATATATACTGTGTTAGAGGAGTTTCATTGTCTCATTGACATACGAATAATCTTACACACAAAAAAACTATAAACATGTATAAATGATCAGTGAGAGGGGGGAGATCAAGAAATTAGGAAATAAAGTGGTACAACCCAAACGATAACCATAGAGAAGTAAGAGAGGAGCATTAAAACATGTAATCAACTTGAAGACCACAACCTTAGAAAAGATGAGATGATCATATAATAATTTATAAAGAGATGAAAAGATATGTATGGACTTTTATAAACATAATCATCATAGAGTACTAATTAATCTATAAAATTAAACATGATCAATCTAATAAAACTAAAATGAGAAAAAATGAATTGATGTTTATTCGTCAATAAGTTTCGTTCATAACATTTTATTATTTCGAAGAATTAATGTGTTAATTCTCATATGTTTGAGAGAAACGATAGTTAGATTTCCAAAAAAAAGAGTTGGAATATGGACCTTTTTGTCGTTAGAGGTTGTTTATACCATCCAATCCAAATTATGGAGTATATTGAGACATCATATCCCTCGAACATAATTTATAGCGTTACGTGATGTTTCTTCTTAACCCTACACAAAGCATAAAATGACACTAACTTTGGTAGTCATACTCGTATATAACAATCAAACGCTTGGTGTGGTGGTCTAAAAACAGTTGAGCTAATGAGCTGAGAGTCTAGATGTAAAGTGTAAACTAATCTAAAACTTTTTTTGGCATCATGAACTAATCTAATTTGTTTAAAGGATTATATTTAATAGATACTCCAGAAATAAGAAATATTGTATTACTTTGACAATACATATCAAAATACATTTACATTATTAAATATTTCTTACTTTTTTTGCAAGATTTTTTTAGTGTGCTCAAAGTTGGATCATTCAGTCTGAATATAGAACAATATAGTTAATACATTTAAATCAGAAAATGATTATTGATAAAATAAAAAATAGCATGATCAATTTCACAATGAGATAAAAAGAATGTATATATGGACTTAGCATCACCAAAGAATAAAGCTATAAAATTAAATATTATTAAATTAAATCTAATCAAACTGGAACAATAAAAATAAATCTAATAATATTATATTACTTTTGTTTAAAATGCGAAAGCATTACGTATAAATAGTTTCGGACCAACCGATCTCCAAACTAAGCTTCTCATCATCGTATAACAAGAAACAACAACAACAACAAAACTAGGCTTCTCATCATCATCATCATCTTACAAACACCCACCACTTTGGTTTCCTTACATTCTTGATTTTCTTGAATCATCTTCAAGATTCTCAAAACTTGTTTCTTCCCTCTGATCTTTGCTTCAAACTTCACTCGCTTGCGCTCTGTAAAGCCCTTCTAAGCTCAGATGCCATAACATGCAAAAGAACAGGTTTCTGAATCATACCATTCATCCCCATTTGCAAACACCTTTCCCTGACATGATCTTCAGTACTAGCAGTCAAAGCTATAATCAATGGCCAATGATGCCCACAAAACTTCCTTATCTTCATCGCTACTTCGAAACCATCCATCTCAGGCATCTGCAGATCCAATATCACAACCCTATACGACATTTCCACATTAGACAAGGCACTCAAACACTCAAATCCAGATGAAACAGCTGTCACTTCACATCCTAGTTTCTCTAAAAGCCTCTTGGTTACGGTTCTGTTCACATCGTCATCATCTGCTAAAGTGATTCTTAGACCACGGAGAATCGAGTTTGAGTTTGGATGTTGAAGCTCTGGAGCATTTCCTGCTAAGATTGATCTTCTAATAGAAGGTCTTGTCTGAAACCTCAGAACTAGTTGCATACTCTGTGGCTGTCCATGAGACTTCGGTGATATCCATATGTTCCCTTGCATCATCTGCAGACATATATCAAATCACATACAGAGACTGTTAAACCCAAACCCGAAAGTACCAAACTAAACCCGACCCAAAAAAGTTATACCAAATCCGAACTAATACTGGTAAAGTATTAGAACGGATCCACAATTATATATTTAAATATATTGATTACTTTTAGATCTAATATCTAAAAAATATCTCAAAATGTTCCAAAATATTCTGAATTATCAAAAATACGTGAAAATATCTAAAACTAAATACCCAAAAATACTCAAAACACCGAAAATACTCTAAATATCTAATGATTCTCCAACCAAATATCTAAACCAGATCACATTTCATGTTAATTTCAGATATTTAACATACATTATTCAGATTTATATGTTGTATATTAGTGTAAGTTTTGGATTTTAAGGTATATTGGGATTGGGATTTTTAAATTTGTTTTTATAATTAAAATGGATATCGAAACCGCAACTGAAGAACCAACCCGAACCAAAATTTATAAATACTCGAATGTGACTTAAATCTCTAGCTTTAAAAATCCTAAACTCAAACTGAAGGATACCCGGATGTTCACCCCCTAGAGTCTGTAATAAAAATAGAAACAGATGTTTTGATGTGATCGATCACTAACCTGTGCAAGTTTTCTACACATGCCTAAGCTCAAGCCTTCTTTAATCCCATTGCTATGATACCTTCTATTCGGAATATGCCTCATAGCCAAAGCTGAACCATCCAACGGAGGATTCTTAATCTCATTAATCTCAACTTCAAACTTAACACCGAGTGAATCATCAGACAAATGCGACTTCCACATCCCACTCTCTCTTTTGTTCTTGTCCTGACTACTCCCAGTACCTTCAGACACAACCCTAAACGTAACCGTCTTCCCTCCATCAGTCATATCCAAGATATACCCAAGCATATACATCACAAGCTGAAACGTTCTCTTCTCATCTCCCACTACTAAACTAGGCAAACGCGTCTGAACATCCATCTCAAAACCATACCCTTTGTAAACACTCAAGCATTTAGCAACACAAGCAGCTTCTCTTATCAAAGAATGTAGCTGAAACCGTTTAACCTCTAACGGAGACTTCCCGTTATCTTTAGGAGAAATGTCTATCACGTCGTTGATCAGAGCTGAGAGGACAGTACTCGTTTTCATAAGCGCGTCGACAATGATCTTCTGGTCAAGACTCATACTCTCTGACTGAAACATGGAGAGGAGACCGAGGATGGTATGCATCGGTCTCCTCATTCCATGACTCATCACTTTCTGGCAAGTGTTCCTCGCTTGACTCGCCATCATAGCGTTCTGTTTAGCTCTGAGCAAAGCTCGGTTTTGAATACCGAGCTTTTCTCTCATGAGCTGTGACTCCTCAAGCACCGAGGCGTGAGAGAGCGCTACAGCTACTTGATCAGCAACTACCTCAGCTATCTCAATCTCCTTATCAGTCCAAACGCGCGAATTCGCGTTTGGAAGAACCAAAACCATTATAGCATAAGAAGTATCAACAAACTCAGGAGTCCCTCCTTTGAAGTTAGATCCATGAAGCATCGGCATTCTAATAGCAGCAACAGGACCAAACTCATCAGCACCACTGCTCTCAACAGCAAGAAGAGAATCTTTCCTCAAAATCGCAACCACTTTCGCCTCCCTAACCTGAACAACATCAGGATCATTAATCGGTATCACCCTAAAGCTTCTCACAGAACTCGCTCTAAGCTCATGAGTCAAATGCATCTCGGTTCTATTCTCATTAGGCATCCAAACAGCAGAGTTCTGCAAATCAAGAATCTTAGACAACTCAACGAGAGTAGTCCTTAAAATCATATGCTTATCAAGAGACTTTCTAATCTCTCTAGTAAGCATCCTAACATGAACACTCATCTCCTTCTGCCGTTTCATCAAACCAACCTCCTCGTTAAGCTCCAAAACATTCTGCTTCAAGTAAAGCTCTCTCACTTTCCACTTCAACAACAAGGGAATCAAAGTCAAGAGCGTGATCGCCGTGGCGCAGGAGACTAACGCCGTCAAGAACTTGAAGATTGTGAGCCAGAGCATGAGCTGGAAAGAGTGTGGTCCGTAGTAAGTCCAAGCGTTGAGGAGATGAGTCATCCCACAGAGAACTATAAAGGCTATGAACTGGACGAGAACCCATTTGAATGGAACGTTGGAGAAGCTGATGAAGTAGAGAAGCTCAAGTGGGATTGAGAAGTAGGCAATGGCGATTAAGAGATCACTGACTCTTTGACATTCTAAGATTGTGTGGACGGTGAAGAAGTATCCTTCGTCGTCGCAGTTGCAGTTTCCGTAGTCGTTGTCTCCGGTGACGAGAACGATTAGAGCGAAGAGGAGTAAGCCAAGACCTAAGGATCTTAACATCTTTTATGTCCTAATTCAAGACTCAAGAGTTCAGATCCAATGAAAACAGAGCTTTGAGTTAATAAACAGAGCAATAAAAGGACACACCTTTCGAATCTAGGAGATGTAATAAGAGAGACCCACGATTTGCATCGACGGAATCTAAACCGGGTCAATCTGAAATCTTGATTTAACTGAAGAGGAGAAACAGAACACAGATGAGGAAGAGAGGAGGAGAAGAAACCGAGTTTTTTGTTGTCTGAATTTTTTTAGGGGAGTTTCAGACTTGAGTCAGCAACTATTCAAAGTCTTTTTAAGACAAAAAGGAGGAGACTTTGAGCTTTTTAAGCAGTTTCTGGAGAAGTTGCTTAATTAAGAAAAAAATGGTGTTATGAATATATCATTAACAGGTAATTTTCCCTAAAATAGAATTGAAAAGAAATTTACAAGTTGACATAAAATAACTAAATATGAGCTTTACTGTAGAAACAATTTAGTTAAACAGTAAGGAAATATAAAAGGAACAAAAGATGTATTTATATTCTTAAGAAAGAGCATTTTCATTTCATGTAACCAAAACAAAAACAAAAAATATATAAACACAGGAGAAGAAAATAAATGAAATGAAAGAGAAGCAGGATCAGCTGTTTACTGAAAGAAAGAAAGAAAGGCTGTGGAGTTTATACATATTGGCACCGTTAACTAAGAAAGAACAAAAGCATCACTCAACTTCAGACAAGCTTCTGTAAGTCCTATCTCTCTCTCAGTTCAGATTCTTGCTCAGGGCTTCAGTTTCTAAATTTGGATCTAAACACTACACACGTCTCTGGAAGCTTGGGTATAGATGCTAATCCGGTATTTGCTGCTCGTAACCTCCATTCTCCGACGACTCATGTCCTAGACGTCCTGCACAAGATTACATCCATGAGGTCTCTATATTCAAGCCATATGTTTGATCATCACCAAAGAAGAAAGCCTTAGCTTAGCTTTTGATCATCACCATATGTCCTAGACGTCCTACCATTACTTAGTATTAGTTTAAACGTTTTGATCTATTGTTGTGAGCTTTTCTTTACCTGACAAATCATACCCACCACCACCTCTACCGTCAAGACCACTGTTGCCTCCTCCTCCTCCCCATTCAGATGGCCGGGGATGTGTCATGTGCATTCCCTGTGGTGCTTGCATCATGAAATGATGATGAGATCCACCCATACCGGTTTGTTGATGTTGATGATGCTGCTGCTCATCGTTTCCCCTCATTGGATTTCTTCCCGGAGAATCCATAACAGAACGGAAACCCATTCCAAGCAATGGTCCAGGGCCCGGGCCAGGTCCAGTGGTAGAGGGAGAAGTTAACAGACTTCCACTGTTAGAAGCTTCTCCTTTCACACCACTCCCTGCAGCATCCTTTTTTCTATCAAGCTGAAACGTACCAAGAATCACCTGTTTTTGCACAAAAACTAAGGCTATCAATGGACGCCATAACTTTCTCATATAACACAAATCAAAGTTGTAATTATGACACAAGAGGATTTTACCTGAACCGGGCCAGCAGCTGTCAAGTGAGTCCCAACAGCTCCTCCAATAATCTGACCATCAGATCTAGATAAAGAAACGCTAAGTCCACCGGTCTTCCCACCTTGTTCAGCCCGTATAAATGATCCGGATAGCGAGATAATCTCGTACTGACCCTGAATAAATAATCGAAATTCTGAACAAGTCTAACAATTATACGCAAACTTCAAAGAAAAGCAAGTCTAAATAAAGAATCCTTTAGCTTCAACAGCAAGCATGCACACTGTGTTATGACTCAATTCTCTAGCACACAGAACAGCAAAGATCAGGAAGAAAAAAAGAAAATCACACCTCATATGATATGTTGCCTCCTTGCTGGCGCAACGATGCAGTAGAGATGGTCCCTGATGCAGAAAGAACGCATAGCTCATGCTTGCTTTGTTGTGCAAACATCACAATTTTCTGAGCCACATCCTGTCAGATTCACCCAGAGAAAACACTTAAAAAGATTCCTCTCCACATCAATTAAAGAAACAATACTATATAACATAGATAAGCTTTACAGACAAAGCTTAATCAGAAAATCTATAAGAGGAAAGGAACTTGAACATGACATACCTCACCAGGAGCTATATTAACGATATGTGGAGTAAAGCTCTGCCCAGTTTTCCCTGCAACCAAAAACAAAACAAACAAAAAAAACTTATTTTAAATCTCAAAAGATTCTTACCCTCACTGTACAAACAAGAACCCTTCTACCAATATTTCACAGTGTCTACCAATGAAGTTCACAGAGTTACAACATAAAGCTAAATGCAAAGCAACAACCTTTTCAAATCATACCTACCTATTATCATCTAAATTATCAAAATTCGACATAAAGTTTGAAACTTTGATATCAATAAGCATCAGATTAGGACAAACAATACTCAAGACTGAATCAACTGTATCTGAAGCACTGTTAAAACAAGAACCCTTCTACCAATATTTCACAGTGTCTACCAATGAAGTTCACATAATTACAACATAAAAGCTAAATGCAAAGCAACAACCTTTTCAACACATACCTATGTAAAATCAACAAAACCATCAAACCCAACATAAAGTTTGAAACTTTGACATCAATAAGCATTAAATTAGGACAAACACGAAGAGGGTCGTGTTAACTCACCGACAGAACCAAGCTGAGATTTTTTCGAAGCTGCGGAACTAGACGACGTCGTAGCACCTCCTCCAGCTGCAGCAGCAGCTGCTTGCTCTCTCCTCTCCTTAGCAGACGAACTGCTCGCGGCAGACGCCATTTTCTTAGCCTCCAGGGCTTGCTCCGGCGTCACATACTTCCTCGGACGACCTCGTTTCCTCTTCAACGGCTCTGTTACCGTCGAGGAAGGTACTGAGTGATGAGGATACACGGCGTGAGATGAGGAACCATCGTTAGCCTGCGGTTGCGGCGGGAAAAGACCATTGTTGGAAGGTGGAACGGCGTTTCCGGGAGAAAGAGTGGTGGTTGATACGGTGGATGGATGGTGGTGTTGCAGGTGGTGGAAGTAAGGAGAGCTGAGACGTTGCTGCTGCTGCTGTTGTTGGTGTTGTTGGTGGAGGTGGTGACTTTCGTTAGGTTCCATTTTTTGTTTTTGAGTGAGAAAAAATCTCTAGAGAGAGAGAATTTTAGGGATTTTATTTTATTTTATTAGCATTTACAAAAAAAAAGTTTGCTTCTTTTTAGACAGGAGATATCATTAAAAAGAAGAAGACGGGATGGAATATTAACCGTCGGATCTAGATTTGACTTCCAATTATTTTGACTTTTTTTTTAGTGTAAAAAGCATCTCTTCGCTTTCCTTTTTTTTTACGTTCTCTATCGTCTTTAATAGGTCTTCTTGGTCTAAGATATACTCCCTCTGTTTCATTATAAGTGTCACTCTACAGCTGTGCACACGGATTAAGAAAACAATTAATTTTACATATTTCCTATATAAAAACACAATTACCCATACACCTAACCATATTTCAACCAATAGAAAAACAAATTACATAATAAAATTAATAAATTTTGCATTGAAAACCGAAAACGACACTTATTTTGTAACGCAAAAAATTCTCTACAACGACACTTAATATAAAACGGAGGGAGTATAGTCTTTTGATTCTGAGCCGAAAAGAGTATAATTTTCATGAACCGATCAATTATCTGAATTGTCATCTCCAAGTCACATACTTATTCAGTTTTGGTGTTATTATAGTCAGTCTGATACGGTTCATAGAGTTGACTCCTTACTCGACTAGGAAGATACTGTGATTTTTTAGATGTCGAGGGTATATTTGTTAAATTTATAAGTTAGCATCTCAATTGGCTAAAAAGAAAGATTCTGGCTACTAAATTGGAATAAACATAACAATAATTTAAATGAGGTTTTGGATACGTACGAGAGAGGAGACAAGTTCTATCTCTACACTGGGAGAGGACCTTCATCAGAAGCTTTGCATTTAGACCATTTGATTCCTTTCTTGTTTACCAAGTAAAGTTACAAAGCTTTTTTTTTTTAAAGGTTAATGCTTGTTCTTTATATACTCGACACTGGATTGTAGATACTTGCAGGAAGCTTTTAAAGTTCCGCTTGTTATACAGCTAACGGATGATGAGAAATGTATGTGGAAGAACTTATCTGTTGAGGAAAGTCAAAGACTTGCTAGAGAGAATGCGAAAGATATCATTTTGCTTGTGTGGTTTAATGTCACTAAGACCTTTATTTTCTCGGACTTTGACTATGTTGGCGGGTAAGTTAGAAGAAGTCACCTTTTTGTTTTTGATGTTTACATTTTTACAGTTTTTTTCTTCTTCTGGTTGATGATGTAAGAAAACCCTTTGTGTGTACTGTAGTGCTTTCTATAAGAACATGGTGAAGGTTGTAAGGTTACTTTTACTCCCTATATCCTTGAATTAAAACAATGTGGTTCGTGTGATTTGTTAGTTGCTTCATCATTCATGTTCAATCAACTTCTTTGCTAGGCAATGGGAATCTTTGGCTTTCCTAGCGAAGATCATATTGGAAAACTCAGTTTCCTTCCTGTCCTGGTGTGTCTTTTTTTTTTTTTGTTCCTATTGGCGTGTGAGGTGTAGTATAGACTGTTCTGTTTACTAATTTTGAATCATATGGTTTCTGTTTTGTTTTGTTGATTTTTTTTTTAACCATTCTAATAAAAGAAAACTATTAATGATAACCAGATGGTGGATGCGTTCATGGCTGTGAGACCTCTCCCAAACATGTTCGAGTAACTCGATGATAACCTCTTTTTTTGGGCTGCAACTTCACATGACATAACTTTGAATTGTTTTCTATTTTTATTTGATAGATATTTTTTGAGAGGATGAATTGATTCTTGAAATCTTTGAAGAATTTATTTATTGAGAATCATATGTTATTTTCATTAACAAAAGAAAAATACATTCTTTAATTATAACTTGCCTTTTGATAAATTACTAACCAACCAGTTTTTCTCACTAGAAAACAGTCACCACATTATTTACTCAGACAAGTTGACACCCGAAGAACTCAATAAACATGAAAGGGAGCAAATGTATACATTATGTTGGTCATTGACCTGTAAGATGACAGGGGCCTTGCATCGATCGTGGCAATATGTGCAGAATGGCCGACTGTTCTGATAGTTAAGAATCACTAAATATTCTTTTCCCTCAAGGGGAATGGAACAGTTTGGAGTGAGACGTGAGAAGTCTCCTAGTACACATCCAACATGCAAAGTGACTCCACAATCAGAACATGTAAAGAACCATTTACTTGGGTCTAACTCCATCTCACAAACTTCACACCAGTTTTCGCCGATCGTCTCCTTTTCGCCATAGTATAAAGTGAGAGGGTGCTCATCGCTTATATGCCATATCTTTTCAGGCAAAGTAGCACAATACAAACACAAGTCAAAATCACAAGCATCACAATTGAGCATGTAGACACCTACAACGCCCTCTGGAACTCTTCCACATGCATTGCAGTAACATTTGTTCTTTGGTTTAACAAAATATAAGGGATGAAAATGTGCATTATGGTCAAATGGCTCAGAAATGGAACTACAATGTACATCTACAATAGGATATTCCCAAGAACGTCCTTGCGATCTGTACTTAAAACCACCAGAGAATATACCACACAAGTCACAGTATTTAGCAATGCCTTGATACTCCAACTTGTATGGCGTGGTGTTAAAGACAAGGTTTTTCTTCAGAGGAAGATAAGCACACTTTTCATGGAGAAAAAAACGACATTCCTTACAACGGTAGATTGGGCCAAACCCGATTGGTGAGACGCATGCTTCACATCGTACCCTCTCGTCACCAACCATGTCGTCATAATCTTTCAAGTACAGTAAAATATGTTTATCATGAAAGAAATGACGTATCAAATTATCACCCATCACCTTAAATGGCACAATATCTTCACTAGTCTCGGGTATCCCTTCGAGTTCGACACCATTCCATAAATTAAAATCAACTGCACATATTGAGTGAACTACATAATTAGGGCAAATCGCGCAAGAATAAGCTCCATAGTACTGATTTACTCTTTCTCGACAAACTCCACATTTTGCACCCTTGTGGCCAAGATGAGGCCTAAAAGAGATGCGATGATCATGACGGTTGATGTTTATGATGCGGGGTAAGCCAACACAAGGTCCAGAGACAACAAAAGCACACTTGAGACATATATAAGACATATAACCATTTGAAAGAAGTCCACTGACCTTGCAAATAAATGCAATTTTATTCGGAAATAGCGTCAATGGATGGCTGTGAGTCTTGGTGTCGTCAACAACAAGAGGTGGTGGACGTTTGGTACATTTAAGACACAAAGTAAAATTGCAAATCAAACAATGATAACGAACATTGTTTCGTTTATCTAAACAGAAACAACAACTCTCATTGATGACATCATCATCATCATCATCGGTCTCGGTTGTATGTAAATCCCCACCTCTCACCCCCCAACGGGATAGGTTTCTTTCATCATCATCATCATCATCATCATCATCTATAAGTGACTCAGGTGGCATGATCTTAAGGGGGTGACTAGAGTGGGAAGAATGATATACCTCTTTTGAGAGATGAACACAATCTAAGTGAAAGTACACGTTATTACATTCAGAACATGAATATGAAGGTCGTCCATGAATATAATACTTGCATACTTCACAACGGACCCAGGCTCTCTGCATTCCTTTCTTCGTAAACACGAGTGTATGGTCATGACACACCGGATGTTCGATTAGAGGCGGGGATGGTTTAGTCCCACAAATCAATCCCACTTTGAATTTACATATGGGACAAGTATAATATGTGGACAAAATAGCTTGTCCACAAAAGTCACACCGTGGAATACGATCGTCCGTTGGAGACCACCCGGTGAGAAAGAGAGGATGCTCCCGGTGGAAAGGGTGATGATTGATCTCTAGTGGGGATTCCGCGCAGTCTTTATGGAACCAACAATTACAACGAGCCTCGTTGCAAAAGTAGCCACCGTACATGACTCCTACGATCTGGCAGCCAGCACATTTCCTTTTGATGAACATAGCTGAAGGGAAAAGAGGATGCTCGTGAATAGGTTGCTTATACATTGGTGATTTTTTGGTATCCATGTTTGCAAGTATGTGAATTGAAGAAGTTTATTTTTATCAGATATATAAAAATGAAAACGGAAGACATCATCATCACCTATATATACAATGATTGTAAAATGTTTAGAGTTGTTTGCGAAATTCCTTATCTTTACAAAAGAAGCAAAGTATCAAATGCTTCTTCTATCAAAACACGGCAATAGCCAATGTTATACCATAACTAAAGCTTTTTTTTTGTACTTTTTTTTGGGATCAATTCTTTTATGTATTCTTTGCTATTCTTTTCCTGAATTTCAAATCAAAACATTTTAAACTTGTAGCTTTCTATAAAGCATAAGATTCTTTCTACATTCTTTTTGTCCACGGACCAAAAGGAAGAAGAATATGTATATATTTTTTTTAACTAGTGCCTCAAAAGTACTAATCATGTTTCATCTTAGTTTTCAAAACTACAAGTTCAAAAAAAAAAAGTTGTAAAAACCTTGTTTGCCAGAACAATATTTTGTAACCGGTGGGGAAAATATGTTGTAGAACATATATGGTTATCTTGTTGATTAGTTGGGATGTAGCTAATACTTTTTTTTTTCTTGGCAACCTTCTTTTTTCATTGATTGGAATTGTAAGTACAATGGTTTACAACTTTAATTTCTTTACAACAGTAAGATTTATTAATCATTTTTTTTCAGTTTATAAAAGGTACATCGAGAAAATAAAAGGATGATTATAAAAGATGCTAAAACATTATTTATTAAGTTTTTTTAAAAAATCTTGTAAGAATATCTTTCATTTTTCATTTTTTTCTTTTAATAATTCTTAAAACTACATCAAATATCTATAACATTATTTGAGAAGTAAATTTGCTGAGTTGTCAACTTCTCCTTGATTTTAGGTAAATTTGATTATTTACCTTATTTAAATAATTTCATGTATAATTTATTATTTAATAAAAACGAATTTATATGAATATAGCATATTTTTTAGAAAAGAAGATAATTCTTGTGAATTATGTTGTTATCTTGAACTATATTTTTATATATAAAACTTAAAATTTAAATTAAGATATAAAAATTATTATTTTTATTATATAACTAAAACAAATTTATATCAATATTTTTATATTTTTATAAGATAATTCTTATGTAATATATTGTTATCTTGAAAATATATTTTTCTACTAGAAATTTAAAATGAAGATATAAAAATTTGTAGTTATTCTATAGTTAAAATAAATTTACACTAATAGTATTATACTTTTAGAAAATAAGGTAATTCTTATGTATTATGTGTCAACTTGAAAATATATTTTTATATTATATAATTTAAAAGTAAAATAGAAAATTATCTATTATAAATTAAATATAAATCATCACTGAAGCAAAATTATTTAATAAGTGAATTTGCTGATTTGTTAAGTTCTCAATGATTTTAAGTAATTTTAATTATTTGTCATCATTTTTATAATCTTATATAATTATTATATAATTAAAACGAATTTATCATATTATATTTTTAGAAAATAAATAACTTATGCATTATATTGCTATTTTGAAAATATTTTTTTTCTATTATAAAATTTAAAATTAAGATATAAAAATTATAATTAAATATGAATTAAGTAAAAATATTTGTATAAATATCATAATTAAATATAAATCAAGAAAAATAATTATAGAAATATATTCTTTTAAATATTTCTGATGTTTGAGTTTTGTCATTTATAATTATTTGATGTTTGATTAGTAATTTTTGAAAACATAAGTAATAAATTAATGAAACATAAGTAATAAATATTCGTAAGAGAATTATGCCCGCAAGTGCGGGCAAAACACCTAGTAACCACATAAAAACAAATCCCTACAGACAAATTTATACAAATTATAATCCAACCAATCTTTCATTACATCAATCAAATTTACAGACAAATTATACATCAAATTTTCTACGCCTCTGCAATGCAATAATGATTTGGTTTACTTTGCTAATTCATTTGGCGTTATTTGTAGCTGAATTTGGGCCCCTCTTATGCGGCCCATTTATCTCTAGCTGTACTAGATAATAGCCCAAGCCCATGTAGTCAAGCATCATCATCCCCCTCAAAGAAACCTAATCTCTCCCCCTCGTCGAAACCCTACATTCCTGATTCTCGTGAGTTCTCTCTGTTTCTAGAGCTGGAAAAAAAAAAAATTCAATCTTTCATAATTTTTCCCCTTCTTATATAGTCTTAGTATCCACTTATCTGCTCATCTCTTATCAGATCTTGTCCACTCACTCTTAGTTTTACACTCTGCTTTTTGTAGCTCCATCTCCAGTGAAAAGTGATGATGCAACACAAGGTAAAAATCTCTCACTCTTGTTTTTCTCTAAACCTTTAACTCTTTGCTTTACTTAATTCCACCTCAGATTGAAATATAGTCTCTGGTCTTTAATCTTTTTAGGTTTTAAAATTTGGAATCTGAATGTTCAGTTATTTTAACAACAGCTTTCTGTTATTTCAGTTAGACTTGTTCTGTTATTAAATGCACTCTTCTTTCTATTACAGATACTAAACAAGCAACAGAACTAAAAAAAAAAAAAAAAAGTTAAAATCTTTTTTTTTTTTCTTACTGATGGACACTGGAGGCAACTCGTTGACGTCAGGACCAGATGGTGTGAAGAGAAAAGTCTGTTACTTCTACGACCCAGAAGTTGGGAACTACTACTACGGCCAAGGACACCCTATGAAGCCTCACCGTATCCGCATGACACACGCTCTCCTCGCTCACTACGGTCTCCTCCAGCATATGCAAGTCCTCAAGCCTTTCCCTGCACGTGACCGTGACCTCTGCCGCTTCCATGCCGATGACTACGTCTCCTTTCTACGCAGCATAACGCCTGAGACGCAGCAGGATCAGATTCGTCAGCTTAAGAGGTTTAATGTTGGTGAAGACTGTCCTGTCTTTGATGGTCTTTATTCGTTTTGTCAGACTTATGCTGGGGGATCTGTTGGTGGAGCTGTTAAGCTTAATCATGGGCTTTGTGATATTGCTATTAACTGGGCTGGTGGGTTGCATCATGCTAAGAAGTGTGAGGCTTCTGGCTTCTGCTATGTTAATGATATCGTTCTAGCTATTCTTGAGCTGCTTAAGCAGCATGAGGTTTGTTTTCTTACTACTTACAGCGTTTCTCACATATTGAAACATCGTGCTTCAGAGCTGTTTAATCTGATTTATACAACTTAAATCGCTTTAGACCATTCTAAACCGGTTTAAATTGCGATAAGTTGGTCTAAATTTGTTAAAAGTAACTAATAGTGTTAGTAAGAATCCACAAATTTGTATAGTTTCTTTTGTTTTGTATAACTAATTTTGATAATTCATCAACAAAATATAATTAAATCCAGAAACTAAAGTATCTTATATCAGTTTAATATAGATAAAAGAAATTAATAATCTGTTAACACTTTGCTGGTTCTTTACAAACACTAGACATGATCTAATGTATTTGTTTTTGTTTTTTTTTTGTGTCTCAGCGTGTTCTCTATGTTGATATCGATATTCACCATGGAGATGGAGTGGAGGAGGCGTTTTATGCTACTGACAGAGTCATGACTGTCTCATTCCATAAATTTGGAGATTACTTTCCTGGTACAGGTCATATACAAGACATTGGTTACGGAAGTGGGAAGTACTATTCTCTCAACGTGCCACTTGATGATGGGATCGATGATGAGAGCTACCATCTGTTGTTCAAACCCATCATGGGGAAAGTCATGGAAATTTTCAAACCAGGTGCGGTGGTATTGCAATGCGGTGCTGATTCGTTGTCTGGTGATAGGTTGGGATGTTTTAATCTTTCCATCAAAGGTCATGCTGAGTGTGTGAAGTTTATGAGATCGTTTAATGTTCCTTTACTGCTTTTGGGTGGTGGTGGTTACACTATCCGTAACGTTGCCCGTTGCTGGTGCTACGAGGTAGTACTCTCTCACAAATCATTAACAGATTTGTTTTGGCTTTTTATTTTATTCACTGCAGCTAACTATGTATATGGATATAGACTGGAGTTGCACTTGGAATTGAAGTTGAGGACAAGATGCCGGAACATGAGTATTATGAGTACTTCGGTCCAGACTATACACTTCACGTTGCTCCAAGTAACATGGAGAACAAGAATTCTCGTCAGATGCTTGAAGTGATACGTAATGACTTGCTCCACAATCTCTCGAAGCTTCAGCATGCTCCAAGTGTTCCGTTTCAGGAAAGGCCACCTGATACTGAGACTCCTGAGGTATGTTTTTGGCTGCTTGCTCATTCTTTCTTGTGTGAGGTTATGGAGTTTCTAATTTAAATGGTTGATTTTGCTACCAATCTTAGTATGATTTTTTATTTTTGTCTGAATTACAGGTGGATGAAGATCAAGAGGATGGAGATAAAAGATGGGATGCGGATTCTGACATGGATGTAGATGATGATCGGTATGTAATATCAATCCTTCCTCTTTGTTTACGTGGCAGCAGTGTAGTGTTAACTTAAGTTACCATCTGATTGTGCAGCAAACCTATACCAAGCAGAGTGAAAAGAGAAGCCGTTGAACCTGATGGAAAAGACAAGGTAATCCAGGAGTATCTCTTATTCTCCTTGATTTCTCAAATATTTAAATTCATATAGGTTTTATAGAATTAAATCTTCTCTGAGCAATGTGCCAAAAAAAAACAAAAATAACACGAACAGAATGTATCTTTCTATCATTCCATAAATAAAGTAAGTTTAGCTGGAGATCATTTACTTAGGCTGGGAAATCTTCAACTATGATCCAATATATTTACTAGGCACTTGTCAGAATGTTTAAATAAGCCATTAAGTGGAGATTGTGGTGTGCTTTGTATGTTAGATAGTTTGATTATATCATGACACTTGTTGATGCAGGATGGAGTGATAATAGTAATGGAGCGGGTCAAAGCTTTGGATGTTGGTATGGAGGAGAGTGGAAGCACCACCAAGGTGAAGTGAAACAATAGACCACAAAAAATCGAGAGTTTGTTACTGAGATTGAGAAGAATTTGTCTAAAGTGGGTTTGGGTTTGGTTGCAGGTTACAGGAATAAACTCAATGGGAATGGAGGAAGCAGGTGTGAAAATGGAAGAGGAAGGCACAAACAAGTCATCAGGGGCAGCAGATCAAATGTTTCCAAAAACATAAAAAAGACTTCTTCTCCTCATCTCCTAGTCTATTTAATCTTTTTAGTTTGTTATTGAGAATTGAAAACGTTCGTTATGTGTATTTATTTCGTTGCAATGTTTGCATGTCTGAATGATCACAAAGACTGAGATATTCCCTTTGTTATGTATGAACTCTAGCAAAAAAAATGACATCATAACCAAAAATTTGTACTCTCTGCTATTTAACACTTTCTTAAAATCAATAATTCATTCACCTAAACTCATTTAAACAGTATAACTCATCTAGTTGCTAGTATATTGTATGAAACACTTAGTTACCAATCTAATGATTTCTTCTCCTCCACAATTTCAAACATTAACACAAAACTTGTAGATTTCTTCTTTTTTTACACTGGGAACTTATTTCTACATTCTTCAGTCCAAAGTTAATTTAAAAAAAAAGATACTAAAGTTGGGCCTTTATATCTGGGCTGAATATTGGGCCTTTTTACTCGGCCCAGAAGTATCTTGCTGGACTGGGAAGATGGCAAACCCGTAAATAGTTGGACAAATAAAGGGTAGATTAAAGCGAGAGGAAAGTAAAAAAGATAAAAAAGAAAAAGACAGAAGTAACCCTATTGTCGGAGAGAAGGCAAGGAGTAGTTTGGCATCATCGCCCTCTAAGAAACCTAATCTCTACCTCTTCTGCCCCTTCTGTAATTCCCGATCCCACCCCCCATCGACGATTTCTTCTTCTTCTTTTTTTTTTTTTACCCGCCAAATTCAATTTCCCCATCTCCAACGAACTCCTTTCCCCCAAATTCGATTCCCTCCTCCAAACCCTAGATTTGAGATTCACCGTGGTCTGGATCTTCTCCTTTCTTGCTGTCGACACCGAGATTTATAATTCTCGTGAGTTCTCTGTTTCTAGAGTTTATAAAGTTTCAATTTTTAAATCGTAAATCATGCTGTCTTCTAGTCTCTGCTCAGTTTCAGATCATTTCTGTTAGTTAATCTTAGTTATGGAGTTTACACTTATTAGCTTTTTATAAAGACTTCGAATTTGTTTGAATTGAGCTCTAAATTAAGTTGATCTGAGAGAGTAATCGTAGTTATTAGCTCGGAATATTTCACACACTCTTAGTTTTACTCTGCTTTTTGTAGCTCTCTTACTCTGTTTTCTCTAAGGCTTTACTGTTTTTGACGTGTTTTGCAAAGACCTCTGCTTTACTAAATTTAAGCTTATATTTGATATGGTCTCTCATATTTGCTCTTAATCTTTTGCGTTTGAAAAATTGGAATCTAAATGATTACTTGAGGTCACCAGACACAGTTTCATTTATTAATATCTTTCGTTATGTCTGTGTTTTGTATTCAAAGGTTGGATAACTATATCTTGTTTGCGTCCTCTGTTTCTCTTAAGTCTTTATTGTCTGACGAACTCAAGCCAAGTTCTTTCTTTTCTCCACTAAATCTCTAATTCTTTGGTCTTAATCTTTTGGGTTTGAACATTGGAATCTGAATGATTACTTGAGGCCACCAGACACATTCTCAGTTATTAACATCTTTCGTTATGTCTGTTTTTTTTTTGGGCATCAATCTTTAGTCCCTTTCGAGTTGGAATATATTTGTGTTTGTATTCTACAGTTAGATATTGGCGTCTACTCTTATCACATATACTCTTCTTTCTATTACAGGTACTGATAAAGTGAAGAGAACTAAATTGTCTTTTCACGAGTGGGCTTTTTTCTTTCCGAAATCAGTGTGTGATATTAAAAAGGTTGCGTCTACAATGGCGAATCGCGATTTAATGCTTGGACAGGATCACAACATCAGTATGAGCCAGGGTCAATCATTGGTGCTTGGTCACAACCACACACTAGAACTTGGTCAAAACCACGATATGGGTTTAGAACAAGCTCATCATGAACTTGATTTAGGACATCAACATGATGACCATGAGCTAGGCTTAGGCCACCACAACGAAAACCAAGATGAAGAAGAGGATCATCATCATCATAATCCTCATGATTACATGAACGAGAATGAACTCTCCGTGGAACAAAAGCCTGGACAAGAAGACGTTGATCCAGATCTGGTTCTTTCCTCTCAAAACCACGAGTACAATCAGTTGGTGGTTGGAGAAAACCATGAGCTAGACGAGAATCTTGAACTAGCCGTTGACTCGAGCCATGAGATCGAGATTGATCATAATGGTGAGATGGTTATGGTTAGCACTCCTGTTCAAGCACGTGCCCTCTCTGCTGAGTTAAGTTACCAACTAACCGTTGGACAAGAGTTTCCAGATGTCAAGAGTTGCCGTAGAGCGTTGAGAGACATGGCCATTGCTCAACATTTCGAAATGCAGACTATAAAATCAGACAAAACACGCTTCACAGCGAAGTGTTCAAGCGAAGGATGTCCATGGAGAGTCCACGCAGCAAAGCTCCCCGGTGTCCCCACATTCACAATCAGAACCATCCACGAAAGCCACACATGTGGTGGCATAAACCATTTAGGCCACCAGCAAGCTTCTGTCCAATGGGTTGCTTCCTCAGTTGAGCAACGTCTCCGCGAGAATCCAAACTGTAAACCTAAAGAGATTCTCGAGGAGATACACAGAGTTCACGGCATCACCTTATCTTACAAGCAAGCTTGGCGTGGTAAAGAGAGAATCATGGCCACTATGCGTGGCTCCTTTGAAGAAGGGTATAGGCTCCTTCCACAGTATTGTGAGCAGGTTAAGAGGACAAATCCAGGAAGTATAGCTTCTGTTTACGGATCTCCAGCTGATGATTGCTTTCAGCGTCTCTTTATATCGTTCCAAGCTTCCATCTACGGGTTTCTAAACGCTTGTAGACCTCTTCTTGGGTTAGACAGAACATATCTGAAGAGCAAGTACTTAGGTACGTTGCTTCTCGCTACTGGGTTTGATGGAGACGGTGCTTTGTTTCCTTTAGCGTTTGGGATTGTAGATGAAGAGAATGATGAGAACTGGATGTGGTTCCTTTGTGAGCTTCATAACCTTCTCGAAACCAACACTGAGAACATGCCGAGACTCACTATATTATCAGATAGACAGAAGGGGATAGTGGAAGGAGTGGAACAGAACTTCCCAACTGCCTTTCACGGCTTTTGTTTGAGGCATTTAAGTGAAAGCTTCCGTAAGGAGTTCAACAACAATCTTTTAGTTAACTATCTCTGGGAAGCAGCTCAAGCTTTAACGGTGATTGAGTTTGAAGCTAAACTACTTGAAATTGAAGAAGCTTCTCAAGACGCAGCTTACTGGATCAGACGTATCCCTCCGAGGCTATGGGCTACTGCTTACTTTGAAGGACAACGTTTTGGACATTTGACAGCTAATATAGTTGAGTCACTAAACTCATGGATCGCTGAAGCGTCTGGACTTCCTATTATACAAATGATGGAATGCATCAGGAGACAGTTAATGACTTGGTTCAATGAACGGCGTGAGACGAGTATGCAATGGACTTCGATACTGGTTCCATCCGCTGAGCGGCGTGTGGCTGAGGCGCTTGAGCTTGCTAGAACCTATCAGGTGCTCCGAGCCAATGAAGCAGAGTTTGAAGTTATATCTCACGAAGGAAACAACATTGTTGATATCAGGAACAGGTGTTGTCTTTGCCGTGGTTGGCAGTTATACGGTTTACCATGTGCACATGCTGTTGCGGCTCTTCTTTCTTGTAGACAGAATGTTCATAGGTTCACTGAGAGTTGCTTCACTGTGGCTACTTATAGGAAGACTTACTCTCAGACGATTCATCCTATTCCAGATAAGAGTCTTTGGAGAGAGATGTCTGAGGGAGATCCAAATGTGAGTAAAGCAGCTCTTGATGTTGTTATAAACCCACCTAAGTCGCTGAGACCAGCTGGTAGGCCAAGGAAGAGAAGGGCTCGAGCTGAAGATAGAGGACGCGTGAAGCGTGTTGTGCATTGTAGCAGGTGTAACCAGACTGGTCATTTCAGAACCACTTGTGCTGCACCTATTTGATCTGCACACTCTTCATCTCTTTACCTTAAAAAAAATGGTAACAGACACTTGAAGAACAATTACTTGTTTGTTATTTATGTACTTTTCTCATTTTTATATTGTATGCTCAGCTGTAGCAGTATTGTATGCATAATAAACTCTTCTGTTTTTCTGTTTTGTTTTAACAAGTCATGAGAAGATATGTATTAGTCTTGATTCTTACACATACTCAGTTCCAAACAAAAAAATGAGACAATGGGTTTTGGAAGAATAGCTTCCTAAAAAACTGTCGAGGTCGTTCAAGGATAAGGACGTAGCCGCCGCGTGGATCAAAGAACCAGTAGATGAAACCGTGCAAGAATAAGATTCCAACCATCACGAAAGGTACAAAGGACAACAGTCTCGACTTGGATGAAATAAGATACATCCCTGCGACAAACGCTGAGGCCATTGCGATCAGTGACACAACCATCAATAGACAAGACATGTAGAGGAAAGATGAACGTGCTCGAAACCCGTGTCTCGAAGCATAGAACAAGAAGTAGACAGTAGTTAAAGAGAAGCAGAAGGCGATTGTGTCAAACACCAAGAAAAATTTGAAAGCTGCTTTTTCCATCAATGCAGGTGTACCGTCCGGTGTGTAACCACCAGGTATTTGGAATGCCGCCGTAAATGCTACTGTTGCCACAAGAACCGCGACTAGAAGATGAACCTCGTACATTGCACCGTCACTTCTTGCACGGTTGCTTTCTTCAACATCTGCTTTTTCTTGCTTCTTCATTGTCTCCATGTTCTGTCGCTGAGAAGGTTGCTTGTAGTATCTTTGCAGTGCATAGTATGCACTCGTCACCTCGAAACTAATCTGAAAAAAAAAGAAGAAAACACACAGATATTAAAACAAACCAATAATTTTATGAGACTGACAAACTTTAAGGTCAACACATCGATCATCATTCATCTCCAACCTAACTCTGAAAACTAATTTTTGGTGTGATTTTTACACCAAAACATCTCCAATCTAACTGCAAAAATCACACTATTTTAATACAACGCTATAATCACAAAAATCACACTATTTTACATCAAATTTATTGTACGATGATTTACGACACTAGAACATTATTCACTTATTTTATTAAGAAAGTATATAATTAAATAAATGATAATAAAAAAAATAAAAATACATATAATATTATAAAATAATTTTAGTGGGAAGTTTGATGTTATAGTTGGAGAAAAATATTTTACTGTTGTTGAAATTACATTAAAATAGTGTGGTTTTGTTGCCAAAATGATATTAATGGTTGGAGGTGCGTAAGCAAAGTAATGTACCTCTTGATTCTGAGAGTAAAAGAGTTGCGCAGCTGTTAAGTGATTACGATTAATAACAAACTTATCCACTCGCTTGTTATCCAAAAGAAGCAGTAATACTGCTTGCCATTTGTAAACGACCGATAGATGGAGAGGCGTGTTTCCATCTACGTCGCTTTCATTCAACAGATGAAGAGATATCTCAGGCATCTGTAGAATACAGTCAATGATTCCTCTTTGTCTTGATATGATAGCAGAGTGAAGAGATGTTCTTCCTTTACCGTCAACTAGTTCCCAAACGTAAGGACAGCTACCAACAAGCTCTCTATAAGAATCGATTTGACCGGTACAGGCAGCAAGATGAAGCGGACATTGTCCTTCCTTGTCTGATATATAAGCAGCCGAGCTGTCTTGTTGAAGCAAAAGTCGTGTTATCTTGACTTTCCCAAGCCACACTGAATAATGAAGAGGTGTCCATCCCATACTGTCCACTTCTTTCATCATTTCCGGTCTTTTCTCCATCAGTTTTGTCAATAAAACTAACCAAAACAACAATAAGTTGGTTAAGTTTTGTTGGCTTCGAACTTAAATCTAATGGGCAATAATTGGATTGATTTATCTATCTTATATACTCCTTTCGTTTCATTTTATTTGTCATTCTAAATTTTTACACACAGATTAAGGAAACATTTAATTTTACATATTAAAAAAAAACACACAATTACCTATACACCTAACCACTTTTCAACCACTAGAAAAATAGAATATCATATAAAACTAATAAATTTTGACTCGAAACTCTAAAAAAACATTTATTTTGAAACGAATTTTTTTCTCTAGAATGACAACTAATTCGAAACGGAGGGAGTACTAATTAATATCTCTTTCTGACTTCCGATGTGGGATACATTATAACCAAACTCAAAGAGAAAGAAAGAAGTTTACCAGTGTTGACAATGTCGGAATCCACAGCGGCATGCAGAGCATTCATACCTTTAGGCCCTGTAAAAGAAACCGTAGGAGATGTTGCCAAAATATGATCAGCAATGTCGAAAAGCCCTCTTTCAATGGCTAAGTACAGAGGAGATTCATTGTTGTTATTGGCCATCTCTAGCAATCCTTTGTCTTGTTCAGCGAGGAGCTTAGCTACATCGACATGTCCACTCTTTAATGCAACACTTAACGCTGTGTCCTTCTGCTTATTTGTGGCCCTCAAAAGCTGCTTAGTTATTCCCCGGTTTTCGATATCTATATCGGTTAAATTATTGACAAGAAGTTGTAAAACTTGAAAGGAACCTACACTAGCTGCAACGTGTATAGGTGTGTCTCCATTGTTGTTTTCTCCCAAGAGGAGAGATGGACGAAGATCAAGTATGGCAGCAGCGAAATCAAGCCGCTGGTGCTTAGCTGCAATGTGAAGAAGGTTGTTGTTATGTGGCGTTACCTTGTCAAAATCTGATTGGTGAAACGTGGCAGGAGTAAGAAGATTGGTCTCCCCTTTAGCTGCAGCTGTAAGCAATCTCCAGTCCATCATATCAAAAACAGTTGGTAAAGTCTCAAGAAGATGTAAGTGATGAAGATTCTTGATCAAGTAATTAAAACCAATTACAACCTGCAAGTCAGATGATACAAAGAGGATTGTTATTTGAAACTTTTTAGGAGGGTCAACTAACTGATTTTTTTACACTATTTTCCTAGTACATGTAATATTTTTATTATTATTCAGAAATCCAACTGGGTCAACTGACCCACATGCCAATAAGCTGGCTTCGCCAGTGGGCACATGCAGCTATTAAACAATCTTTTTGTGTACATATATGTGGAAGACACAAGACAGAACATCTCTTAGTCTTGTAAAGTTGTTTTCATTAGTCAACGTTATTTTGTGGAAGAGAGATGACCACCAAATGTGTTCAAATTTTTTTTTTTTTTTTTTTTTTTTTTTTTGAAAGAGATGACCACCAACAAACAAACTTTATGTCAGAATAATCAAACAAATGATAATTGATTCATCAAGAATGGCTAATAATAACACACATATAAACGTGATCTAGCGTTTCTGGAACAAAATTTCTGAAGTAGCAATAATTCCCTATCTAGAATCCATCAAGGATGAAAGAAAATGTGAAGCAAGGTCTAGAAGATTCCCTAACAATAACTACTAAGCATGAACATGTATGAGTTTTACATTAGCTAGGGTTAACAAAAGTGAGAGAAAAGAAGCTGCTAGAAAGAAAGACTAAAAGTCATAATAAGATCGTATTGATTTTTAAAATACGAGCAGAGTGACATGACATGATGGAGTTTATTTATTTAAAACAGATGTAGATTTAAAAAATACGAACGAGACACAAACGTGAGAAATTAGATTAGTAAAGCTCTCCTAGCCGCCTATCTTTTGTCATGAACATTTCATCTTAACTTCTTATTATTTAAGTTTTGTAGATAAGTAAAAAACTACCGAAACCTGCAAAGTGAGCTGATGCAAAGAAGATTTTATTTGAGAGAAAGGAGACGCATACGTATGGAGGAGAGAAGACTAATTAATTATCTTAAGTTTTGCAAAATGTGTGGAGGACAGAGGACAAACCAACAACCCTAATCTTCTTCTTTTTTTCTCATCCTCTCTTTATGTGTTCTTTTTTTTGTGCCAAGATTATATTAAAAATAAAAAGAGATTTGGGCCTTAGATATGGCCCAAACCAGTGTTCAGAGAATAGTAGATAAAAGAATAGCTTGTTTAGCCAACAGACCAGCCAGTCTTACCGTTCTTAGAACACCCCCATCAAAGATTCAGATAGAGATTTACATGTTTTTCAAAAAAAAAAAATTACTAAAATAATGAATAGTATTGAATCTGTTCCTAGTAAGTTCCTCGCAGTGAATCTGGTTCATCACTGTAGTGCGGGTCCACAACACACAGCGACTCGCCATTGATCCAATTATTAATTTTTCTTTTTAAGTAAACGAATAAAAGAAATTTTTTTTTGAAAAAGCCACGTGACAAACCCCACCGCAAATTTTCTAATGGTGATGCTCTTAGCTCGTGGAATGAAATCGAAAGAGATAGAAACAAACACATAGGAGATCTGCTTGATAGTTTCGATGAGCATTTGACAATCAGAGAAAACTCTGAGATAGGTGATGTTGAGATTTGCAGCCGCTAGTAATCATTTTAGCATAACCTCGCTAAGAGTGGAGTGCTTCGCTTCGAAAATCAGTCTGTTTCTCACTGTCCAGATCGCCCAAACAATCCAAGGCAGGACGAGTGAAGCGATGCCTAATGGGGGGGAAGAAGACATGTTACATACAAAATGCTATTACATTCTGAAAATAAGGAAACACTTTTCATCAACATGATACTTTATGATCACTTAGTATTTTCTTATTTGTTGCAAAAACTGTGTTTATTTCTTTATTTCCAGTTGTTGTAACATATAGTTTCACACTTTTCTTAATCTTGACCCATCTATCATCGATTTAGTAACTAACATATATATCGTTGTCATCTGTTAAGACAGCTTGTCAGGAAACACAACTGAATCATCATTTTACTTATTGTATACAATATCTAAAGTACTATGTTCGATTTGTCACAACAACTGAAACAAAGAAAAAAAAAACAACAGAACATATATAAAAAAAAAATGGAACAATCAATCTTATGTGGTGTTTCTTAACCGGATCAGAGTCCTATGCATCAGTAGCTGCAGCTTCTTGTGCTTCAACAGCCGCCTCCGTCTCTGCTTTAGCTACCTCCTCAGGAGTCTTCCCATTGGTCACAGGTGGCACCAAAGAGTCAAACTTGTCTGATTTCCCCAACACTATCTCAATCTGCATGAAACAATAACACAAATTAAAATAACAAGTACATATGTTAGATGGTAAAAGTAGGGAAACTTGCCTTTGCTTTCTGAACCATCTTTCCTTTGGTCTCATCCTTCATTCCCACAGTTGATGTCAACACTTCTGAACAAAGATGAAAAAAAAAAACAGATTCTTGAATTATATGAAATAAAAGGTAACAGTTACCATTAAAATAGAGAGACTTTATTATATACTTACTCTTCTCTGTGGCTAATCCATTGTTCTTCAAGATCTCAGAGATTGTTACCACAGTCGTAATTGCTATTTTACAAAATCAAACATTTAAAAGTAATTACACAAATCTACATGCCTTTTTTTTTTAAAGAAAATTAAGTAATGATGAAAATGTTTAATAATAATAATACCCATTCCAAGTGCAGAGAGTTCAACCTCATTGTGTTGCTGAATGTACCTCTGCATTAATCACACAAAAATTAAATCAAAACTTTTAATTTCAAATTGCTATGTTATGCAAATAATAATGATCGTTTCGATGAAGAGATTTAATTAACAATTAATATATACCTTGGCGAGATTAACGTAGAAGAACAAAGGTTTCTTGGTGTTGGAGACTTGAATCCTGTTCTTCTTGTGAGTCTCAACAGAGGTCGTCTTTGCAGGCCCCACGACGATCTTTATCTCCGGTGCGGTGATCGGTGCCGGAGCAGGTGTTGCTACTTCCATAGCCATCTTCTTTCTCTTCACTCTTCTCTCTGCGTTAACTTCTCTATCTCGCGGGAAAACTTATCTATCTGATCGCTTTGGAAGGGGAATTATAAAAACCGTTATGAGACGTAACGGCATTTATATAGCACCCGAAGCGCTAATCGTGAAGCCAAAGAAAAATTGACACGTGGTTGTGTTTGAGTGGTTTGTTGACCGAGTAAGAGCGAAAGACGGATTGGTTCATGTCGCTTCGAGTGTTTTAAAATGACGAGATTACCCCCGATCTTTGTGTGGTAGTTACCGGTTGGGCCTTTTCCACAACAAAATTCAACTTGGGCCTTCAATCTGTTTACCATAAATAGGCTTAAGTTTTGTTTATTCATAATCTTGACTTTTAAACGATCAAACTATATATACTAGTTGCATATTTCCCGCGCAAGCGCGGGGCCAGGATCATTATGTTTGCGTGTATTTTTTTCGATTGTGGTTTAGTGGATTATTCTAATGACACCAATTAATAATGAAATGGAAAATTTCATGTTTTTATATCGTATGTCAAAACTTGATATAATTCTATATTTATAGTATTTATATTTGTATTAAACGATTTATCAATATGAAAATAACCGTAATTAAGTTAATATTCGTTGTTTAAGTTTCATTAGATAGGTTTTTATATATGGTTTTTTGTAAGTTTCGGTTTTGTTCATAAATGATGTGGCATTTTAATCTACGGAGTCATCGATTGTGGGAATTCATTCGCCGAAATCTGGAGTCGGTGGTGAGAAATGTTTTCAATGAAATTATAGTAGTTATTAAAATGTAAGAGAAATTACATATTCATTTAATAAATAACTTACTTAAATTTTGTTGTTTATTTTATTTTATTTCACATACAATTTTTTTTGAAAAATATTAGGAATGTATTAAATGTTATTTATATGCGAAGTAAGGTTTATAGGAATAGTTAGGCTATAATATAGTTTTTAGTGTGTAAAAGTAGGTGTATTTTTTTTTGCTGTAAATAGTTTTTATATCGTAGATCAAAACTTGATATAATTCTATATTTATAGTATTTATATTTGTATTAAACGATTTATCAATTTGAAAATAACCTTAATTAAGNTAGGAATAGTTAGGCTATAATATAGTTTTTAGTGTGTAAAAGTAGGTGTATTTTTTTTTGCTGTAAATAGTTTTTATATCGTAGATCAAAACTTGATATAATTCTATATTTATAGTATTTATATTTGTATTAAACGATTTATCAATTTGAAAATAACCTTAATTAAGTTAATATTCGTTGTTTAAGTTTCATTAGATAGACTTTTATATATGATTTTTTGTAAGTTTGAGTTTTGTTCATAAATGATGTGGCATTTCTATCTACGGCGTCATCGACTGTGGGAATCCATTCGTCGAAGTCTGGAATCGGTGGTGAGAAATGTTTTCAAGGAAATTATAGTAGTTATTAAAACGTAAGAGAAATTATATATTCATTTAATAATATATTCACTGAGAACAGTAGAAGCAGAGGCATGATCAGAATGATGTGCTACTGACTTGTGAGAGCGCTTGAGACGAGCCTCTTCCATTTGCAGCATTGATTTGGCAGTTTCAAAAGATGGAAATGGATCTCTGTGTTGAATGACATTGATGATGTTGTCAAAGCGAGCATTCAAACCGTTGAGAAGAAACATGACAAGTGTTCTATCAGAGATGGGGGCATCAACATTTGTGAGACGATCAGACAAAGACTTCAACTTTTGTGAGTAGTCTTCAATGGATAGATCTCCAATCTCTGTGTTTCGCAATTCATTATCAAGTTGAATGGCTCGAGCTTCTTTGTTATTGCGAAACTTGTTCTCAATCCTGACCCATATGTCACGAGCCGTACCACCAGTAGCAAAGCAACTTCGAAAGAGTTGGGGATCAAGAGTCCCATAGATCCAGAGTTTTACTAACCCATCACGCTTTTGCCATTGAGTATCATTGTCACCTTGTGGAGTGGAGGTACCATCGATGTGGCCTGCTACATCAAATGTGAGACAATGAGTGAAAAAGAGTTCACGCCAGGCATCGTAATTGTGGTCGTGAAGATCCAAGATGAGAGGGATATGAGACTTGATGTTAGTTACACCAAAAGCCCTTTCTTTGACAGGAGCAGCCGCCATGAGTGAATAGAAGAGATTGAGAAGATAAAGAAAAGAGATTGAGAAGAAAAGAGTTTGAGAAGAAAAGAGATTTATTGGTTCAGGAGCATTCGTCAAGCTCTGATACCATGTTAATTTGTGAAACTCCTCAACGTTCTCATTCATCAGAGTTTGGCATATAAAGCCGTAGAGGTTACAAAATGAGTGGAGAGTGGTTCCACAATAGTCGGGATTAACCACTTATCAGAGATATACAATATTTACAAATCATATTCCTAATATCCTCCAAAACCTGGATGCATTCCTCGTCCTCCCATAGACCTCTCTCCACTGCCACCGCCGTGTTCACCTCCACCAAAACTGTGTCCACCACCACCGTGTCCATGTCCACCGTGTCCACCGTGTCCACCTCCACCCCTCTTAACAACGACATCTAATTCCGCTGTTTTACCAGAAAAACCGTCACCGTCATGTTTCGACTGAAGTGACTGGACCGGAAGATTGACATGGCTTGGATCAACGGTGGCTAAACGTGTAACAGATCGTGAGGTGGCTTGAAAAAAGTGGTGTTGGTGATGGAGCAAAAATAGAAAGTATAGAATGAGAAAAGCTTTAGTAGAACCCATAATTGTCTAAGGTTTCAGAGTTCCAGTGAAAAAAAAAAGGTTCAGAGTTCATTCTTAATCTATACACCGAATTGATTTGAATCTATATAATATATGACGGAAGGGTATATATTAAAGTCACAGAGATCGTATGTGTATAGAATAGAACGTTTTGTAAGTAAGCCAAGGTCCTATAAAACTGTTTCTTTGTTTTATTATGATTTATCTTTTTTAACTTAACCTATTACATAATGATCTAGGAATTCTTATCTTTATCCTAAACCTAATAGAGTTAGTTATCCAAGTTTCCTTTTTTAATTAATAACTTGTTTACTAAGTAACCTTTGAAGCTTATCCAACATATATGACTTTTTAGGTATACGAAAAAATTAGTAGAAAAGGAAAACTGATTTGTTTGAAAAGTATTTTATTCAATATATTTTAACTACAAATTTGTGAAACAAATATTTGCCTCAATCGAAATTCCTCTTAAGTTTTGTCATTCTTCTAATTTAATCTGTAGAATTCTTCAACTAGTCTGAACAAAGACTTTGCAATAAGTTTCCATATTGGTGGGAGAGGCGGAGAAGAGACGAAGCTATTGTAAGAAAGAAGATGATAGAGTTAAACCGATGTTAACTCCAGAATCAATCCGACGTTCAGATAAACGAGGAATCGAAACCTACCTTTTGAAGATCTTGAATTGAGAAGAATCTTCAGAAAGAATAGATTGAAAAATCCAGAGAATTTTATTAGAAAATGAGAAGTTTTACAAATGATTATCGATGCTTGAGAAAGAAGTTACAACTCTGTTTTATACGAAATGTTATAACGAACTCTAACTTCCTTTCCACTCAATTGTTGCCACGCGTCACTCCTCGTTCTTCTTATAACGACTCCAACTACCAGCTCTAACTTCCATTCCACGTCATCACTACTCACTTCTTAATGCTGTAACACAACCTTCCCCTCCAGAAAACCTTGACCACAAGGTTAACAAGCAAACTCCGGATACTTCCTCTGCAACTCAAACAAGTACTCCCACGTAGCCTCCTCCTCTAACTGATTTGCCCATTTGACCAAAACCATAGTAGCTGCTTGACCTCTCCTCTGCACCATCTTCCTCTGTAATATTGTCTCAGGTGTCTTAGTCAATGTTTCATACATCACCGAAGGTAACTGAGTTGCAGTAGTTACATCTCCCACCAATCGTTTAAGTTGAGAAACATGAAAGACCGGGTGAATCTGAGATGTTGCAGGCAGCTGCAGTTTATAAGCCACAGGTCCATGCTTGTCCAACACTTTATAAGGTCCGTAGTACTTAGGAGAGAGTTTCTGAGACGTCCTATTGACCACTGACTGTTGCCGGTAAGGTTGGAGTTTCAGAAATACCCAGTCACCGATCTCAAAGCTCCTATCAGACCTGTGTTTATCAGCCAACTGCTTCATGCGATGCTGAGCCCTCATCAAATGAAATTTCAATATCAACAACATCTTCTCTCTTTCCTCCAAACACTTCGCCACTACCTGCACCTTAGATTCCCCTGGGAGGTATGGAAGATGAACTGGTGGTGGTTGACCATAAACGATCTCATAAGGTGTAGTGTTAGTAGCCGTGTGGTAGTTAGTATTGTACCAAAACTCCGCCAATGGTAACCACTTACTCCACATATACGGTTTATCACTCGTCATACACCTCAAATATGTCTCCAAGCATCTATTCACCACCTCTGTCTGACCATCACTTTGAGGGTGATAAGCTGTTGACATATTGAGAGAACATCCTTGAAGTTTGAACAGCTCCTGCCAAAACTCACTGAGAAACACCGAGTCTCTGTCACTTACAATGGACCTTGGAAACCCATGTAGTTTAAAGACATGATCAAGGAAAGTCTGAGCCACCGATGCTGCACTGTACGGATGAGCTAATGCCATAAAGTGTGCAGCCTTGCTCAGTCTGTCTACTACTACAAAAATCACTGATTTACCATATGATGTAGGCAATCCATCAATGAAGTCCATTGAAATATCAATCCAGACAGCTTCAGGTATTGGTAAAGGTTGTAGTAAGCCTGGACTAGCCGCCGTATCATACTTACAACTTTGACACACCACACAACTCCTGAGATAGCTCTGGATATCTTTGGCCAACCCTTTCCAATAGAATAAGCTCTTTACACGTTGTATGGTGACATCTCTCCCTGAGTGTCCTCCCTGACCAGATCCATGTAGCCACTCTAAGATTGAGTTCTTCAGTGTTACCTCATTAGGAACCACAATCTTACTCTTCCTCCTGAGAATACCCTGCATCCAAGTAAAATGTTTCTTGTACTTAGCATCTTTCTTCAACCCTTCGATCACTTCCTGCAATACTACATCTCTTCCATAACCCTCCTTAATCTGCTTTAATAGATCACACTCCAACACTGTCATCGCCATGTGAAGAATCTCAGCACCTTCCACTCTAGATAAAGCATCCGCAGCCACATTATCTTTCCCCTGCCTATACTGTATCTCATAATCAAACTCCAACAGCTTAGGCAGCCATTGCTGCTGAATGGGCGTATTCAACCTCTGCTCTAACAGGTATTTTAAGCTCCTTTGATCCGTCTTGATGATGAAATGATTGGTTAGCAAGTAATGACGCCACTTCTGTACTGCATACACCACTGCCAACAGTTCTTTTTCATAGATAGACAGATGTAGCTGTTTACCCTTTAGATGTCTGCTTATATAAGCCAACGGATGTCCTTCCTGCATTAATACTGCTCCTATTCCCACTCCACAAGCGTCTGTTTCCACCACAAATTGTTTATCAAACCGTGGTAAGGCTAACACCGGGGCATTGCAGAGCATATCTTTCAACTCCATGAATGCTTTATTGGCTTCCTCATTCCAATTAAACGCATCTTTCTTAGTTAAAGCTGTCAAAGGTCTTGCAATAACTCCAAAGTTCCTCACAAAGTTTCTGTAGTAACCCGCTAACCCCAGAAAGCCTCTCAAAGCCTTCAAATTCTTAGGAAGAGGCCACTCTTTAACTGCTTTCACCTTTGCAGGGTCTGTAGAAACACCATTTGCCTGAATAAAATGCCCCAAATACTCCACTCTGTCTGAGACAAACTCACATTTACTTTGCTTCGCATACAAGTGATTCAGCCTCATGAGCTCAAATACAACCTTCAGATGATATAAGTGCTCTTCCACCGAGGAACTATATATCAAAATATCATCAAAAAAAATCAACACGAACTTCCTGAGACACTCTGCAAACACATGATTCATCAAGCCTTGAAATGTTGCAGGAGCGTTAGTAAGGCCAAAAGGCATTACTAGATACTCATAGTGTCCGCTGTGAGTCCTAAAAGCTGTCTTGTGTACATCACTTTCCTCCATACGCACCTGATGATAGCCAGCTCTCAGATCAATCTTGGAATACAGACAAGATCCTCCCAACTCGTCCATCAAATCCTCTATTAATGGGATAGGAAATCTGTCTTTCACAGTCATCTCATTGAGCTTCCTGTAATCTACACATAACCTCCATGTGTTGTCTTTTTTTTTGACCAAAACCACAGGTGAAGCATATGGACTTGAACTAGGCTGAACCGTTCCAGCTTTCAACAACTCTTGTATCATCTTGTCAATCTCATTCTTCTGTTGAACCGCGTATCTATATGGTCTTTGATTCACCGGGTTTGACCCCTCCTTAAGTACAATCTTATGATTGTGATTGTGTCTGAAAGGAGGTAAGACCTTTGGTTCCTCAAACAAATCTTTATACTGTTCAGTCAACTTGGTGAACTCAATATCATATTCTCCGTCCACAGCTTGAGTTTTCATCAGTTTCAAAGACATTGGTTCCTCTACACTCTCCTCATATGCATAGATCATATGAAGCTGCATCTCCTCATCCTTATTTGTCTCCATCCTTCTAGCCTTTATTTCTCTCACAGAGTTTGGTGAAATACCATGAAGAGCAACTTTTTTAGACTCCCACTTAAACTCCATTTCAAGCTTCTGAAAATCCCACGTAATAGGACCCAATCTTGCTAGCCACTGCACTCCCAAAACAACATCATGACCACCTAACGGAATCACCATAAAGTCAGCCATAAACTGGTGTCCTCTAAAATTCCACTGAAACTTATCAATACGGCCACACACACCAATTTTAGTTCCATCTGCAACTGCTACACGAGCTCTACCAGCTTCTTTCACTCTACATCCCAATATCTCAGCAACCTTGGTGTCCATGAAATTATGCGTGGAGCCAGAATCAATCAACACATATATTGGCTTCTTTCCGTGCATACCTTTAACTTTCATCGTTGTATAATCAGTAATACCAGAAATGGCATTGATTGATATCTGAGCAACCTCTCTCTCCTTTTGCTCCATAACCTCCACCGTCTCAAAAGCTTCCTCAGAACACTCCTCTCCCTCATCACAATCCATACAATACAACTGTGTTTTCTTGTGTTTCTGAAAATGTTCTGGAGTAAACTTTTCATCACAATAGTAACACAACCCTTTTGCACGTCTCTCACTCATCTCAGCCTGAGATAGAAATGGTTTCAAACGACCACTGTTCTCTCTCTGTTTCACACCATCTTCTTTTGGAGCTGGAAGTAACCCTTTTGGTTGAAAGGAACTAACTTGAGGTTTGTTACTTCCCCAATTACTCTTAACTTCTTTACGAGGATGAGCCTTCTCATACAACCTTCCTAATACCAAACATTGACGGATAGATTGAGGATTGAACATTCTCACATGCATCTGAGTATCCAAACGAAGTCCAGCTAAATAAGCACTTAACAAGTACTCCTCCTGTAACTTCAAACGACTTCTTATCAGCTCAAACTTCTTATTATACTCCGTAATCCCATCCGTCTCTCTCAACTCCTTTAACTCTGCCATAGGATCATCTAAGATCTCCTCAAAACGTTCTTTGAGTCTTTCTTTATAATTCCTCCAACTACTCAACACTACTGCATCTTCATCTTCTTGCATTAATGTTAAATGCCAAGTAGATGCTTCTCCTTCAAAATGCATAGAAGCTATGCCTACTTTCTTTTCCTCAGGCGTATTATCAATCGCAAAGAATTGCTCAGCTTTACCAATCCATTCCTTGTACTTACCACCAGTAAAACGAGGAAAATCGATTTTGGTTAATCTTGTCATACCTCCGTATTGTGGATTCTGGGGAAAGCGATTGTGATTGATATGATTCTCCGCTTCTTGACCAGCTGTTGCACTTGTCGATGCGTTCACCGTCTGGTTACTCGCCATTTTCGTCAACGTTGCAAGAACCTGACGCATATCTTCATCTCTGCGTTCGTCACGTTCTCTCTGCATCAACAACTCCTTTTCGATCGCATCGAATCGATTTGCGATGACTCCATCGATCTCTCGCGATACAGCTCCTTTCTGCTGCGCCTGTAACCGTGTCTCCGCCATAGATTCCGAGGATAGAATGGCTCTGATACCACTGATAGAGTTAAACCGATGTTAACTCCAGAATCAATCCGACGTTCAGATAAACGAGGAATCGAAACCTACCTTTTGAAGATCTTGAATTGAGAAGAATCTTCAGAAAGAATAGATTGAAAAGTCCAGAGAATTTTATTAGAAAATGAGAAGTTTTACAAATGATTATCGATGCTTGAGAAAGAAGTTACAACTCTGTTTTATACGAAATGTTATAACGAACTCTAACTTCCTTTCCACTCAATTGTTGCCACGCGTCACTCCTCGTTCTTCTTATCCAACTACCAGCTCTAACTTCCATTCCACGTCATCACTACTCACTTCTTAATGCTGTAACAGAAGAAGAGACTCCTTCCGGCGACGACGACCACTCACACTAAGGCCGGAGATGGTAACGAGATGGTCAATAAGTTTAATCTGCAGTTTCTAACATCCATAGATTCATATTTTTATAACGATATCAATGGTAACGAGATGGTCCCTATCCACAATAGTACAATACACATACCAATCTCGTTATTTGTTAGCATTTTCATAGGAAAAAATCTCAATTGTTGGACCATTTAACCGACCGTTCTGTCGTCTTTTCTTTCTATGTTTTCTCAGTAAGGATTTTGCATCAAAGGATAAAGGTCTTTTAACGTCACTTGTTCTTTCAGTGTCCCTTTGCCATTCGAGTGTGGGAGTTGATTCCTACGATGACTAAGCCAAATCCTAGCTCTATCTCTACACCTGCCTCACTCCTCACGGCTTGCGCGCAAATGATTAATTTGCCACCAACTGGCCTCTCCAATACTGCCCTCTATCCCTGGGTGCTCTGGTACCTGTGGTCTGCTAGGAATAAGATGATGTTCGATAATATGATGCTTATGGAACAGGAAGTGGCCACATTGGCGGTGAAGGAAGCGCGAGTTTGGCAAGCTGCGCAGGAAGGTTTAAAAGTAAAGCCAGGATGTGGAAAAATTAAAAGAGTACCATGGTTATGTGGAAGTTCTGAATCTACTCATTGTTTTGTTGATGCTGCTTGGAACGCAACCACAAGAAAGGGAAGTTTTGGTTGCATTTTCAAGGATCGATACAACAAAAACACCATTTACCAGAATTCTACAAACCGCTGCACTGTCGGCTCGGCATTCATTGCGGAGGCTATAGCGGTTAAGACAGGCCTTTTGGAGGGCGAAGGTTGGGGTTAAGAACGCTGACTGTTTGGTCAGATTCACAATCCCTGGTTAACATCATCTCCGGAAACAAGAAGTCAGTTGAAGCGCAAGGAATCTTGTTTGATATTGAACATCTTTGTTTGTTTTTCTCGTTTATTTCCTTTAAGTTTGTGCCTAGGCTAAACAATTCTGATGCTGATGCATTAGCAAAGCGTGGGCTATTGAACCTAGTAATATCTATGGTTTGTTCAAAAAAAAGAAAGGATAAAGGTCTTTTAGTTTTAAGTTGTAACGTGGATCCTACGTCATTCCAAATTTTAAACAGAGTAGCGAGGGAAAGTATGAACTTCTTGTGACAAGGTAGCTTATCTTTCTAGCTTCCTTTGACCCGGCTCAAGTCGCCAAAACTCATCCTTTCTCGGAGAAAAAGCTTCAGCGACGCAATCAGCTCGTCGTCTCGTCAGATTCTCAAGATAGCCTCTAACCGGAACCGCCACAGCACCAGAACAGTTTAAAGTAAAAACGATCCCAAGACCAAGAACATCTCGTTATATGGTTGGTTCATAATGTAATAGTCTGTCTCGGTTTTAATTGCAACGTGAAACTTTTTAAGTTGATTGTTCAAGAACCTCCTAGTATTGATATTTGTATATTATGTATGACTTATGAGTGTTGTTGGATTAATCAAAAACCAAAATATTAGCTATGAGATTATTACGGATTGAAAGAGGTTGAAAAAAAAAACTTAATTAAGATATATCGCCTTATCTTAATTAATGATAAAAAATAACAAAACTCCTAAAAAAACTTCAGACAAACCCAAAGAGAAAATTAGAAGAAATCAAAACCGGCATCAAACATTAAACCTAAACCGGTAAAATCAAATAAAAAAGCCCTAAAAATACAAAACCAAGCCAAGTAAAGTGGATAAACTTAGCCAAACGCTAGCACTTTTCCGGTCGCCGCTTGAACGATGACCACCTCCTCCTCCACCACCTACTCCTCTTACTCCTCCTCCTCCTCCTCCCATAGATCTCTCTCCACTTCCACCGCCACCGTAACTACGTCCTCCCCCACCGAAACTGCGTCCACCTCCGCCGAAACTGTGTCCACCTCCACCACCGACACCCATCTTAACAACGACAGCTAATTCCTCTGTCTTGTCCGAAAAAGCATCACCGTCATGTTTCAACTCAACTGACTGGACCGGGAGATTGCCATGGCTTGGATCAGGGGAGGCTAAACTTGGAGTAGGTCGTGAGATGGCTTGGAAAAAGTAGTGCTGGAGATGGAGAAAAAATAGAATGCATAGAAGCAAAGAAGCTTTTCTAGAACCCATGACAGTCTTCGCTTTTCTTGAGGTTTCAGAGTTCCTTTCTTAATTTATACACCGATTTGTTTGAATACTTATATTATATATAAAGGAAAATTTCCATTTTTGTAGAATATTTGGTAGGGTATGCCTTTTTAGGTATATGGAAATTTAGTAGAAAAGGAAAACTGATTTCCTTGAGAAGTAATTTATTCATTATATATTAACTAAAATGTCTAAAACGAATATTTATCTCAATCGAAATTTCTTTTTTTAATTTTCTTATCATTTTGCTATTTTAATTTGCTGAATTCTTCAACGACTCTGGACAAAAGTTTGCATTAGGTTTACATATATATTAGGGTGTTCATTTTTGTTTTTGTGGAAGGATAGCATCATAGATCCATGAAAATAGCAAGGAGGAAGAAGACGATCAAGATCAATCAAAAACGTGTAACGAAGAAAGAAGATGAAAACGATCCGTTTTCAAATATTCCTCTGGATCTAATCGTAAAGATTCTCCTGAAAGTTCCGACCAAATCCATAGCCAGACTTGTCTTGGTTTCAAGAAAATGGTTATCCATAATCCGCGGCAAAGACTTTATCAACCTGTACCTAGCTCGATCTTCACCTCGGTTTCTTTTAGCAGTCTTCGGCTCCAACGTGGAAGAACAGTTCTTACAAACCTGCTCTCAGGTTGATCCATCTTTGGATCGTCATAGGTTAGACATAACTCCACATAAGCTTAATGCAGATGGTTTTTCTCCACCAATCCGCGGCCTTGTCTGCCGTCAAATGGATTTTAAAGTGGTTATTTCAAACCCTAGCACGGGCCAAGTCTTAACGTTACCTAGAGTGAAAACTACAAGAAGAGGTATATTATCATTTTTTGGGTATGATCCAGTGAACGATGTATACAAAATATTGTGCATGACGATACTACAAGGTCGTCAAAGACGTGGATCACAAGTTGTGTCCGAGGAGCATCAAGTATACACTCTAGGAGCTCAACGAAAATGGAGAATGATTGAATGTAAGCAACCTCATCTTCCTCTTCCTCTTTGTGTTTTTACTAAAGGGATATGCATAAATGGGGTGCTTTATTATTATGCTTGGATAAAAGATGAAGCATTCTTGATAAGCTTTGATCTGATATCTGAAGAGTTTAATGCCATTAAGTTACCTGAAGATATCAAATGCGTAGTTAACTACAATGGGAAGGTAGCTATATCGAGTTGGCCTACGCGTCACGGTGAAGTTCGCTTATGGATTCTAGAAGATGCAAGTAAACAAGAATGGTCAAAAGTTTCAATCGTTGTTCCTTCTTGGATAGATTTAATTGACATTCGTCATGGATACAGATTAAGGGGTACACTTAGTACTGGTGAGCTTGTATTTGTACCTAGGACCTTTCCTATTAACCCGTTCTATTTCATCAGTTACAATCTCAAGGAAAACATCGCCAAGAAAGTTGTGGTTGAAGAACTTGGAGAACATGATGCTTCTCGCGAAATCTATCTAGGCCATGTAGAAAGTCCTATATTCTGTCAGATGTAGGTTAATTCTTTTGGTGTTCCCTTTCATTTTGATCATGTGTTGGACCTGGCTGTTTTAAGTATGATTTTCTTATTTGCTTTACATTTGAACAAAAACATTATTTTTATTGTCGCAGTTCAAAGTTATATACTCAGTCTATTTCAATTTACTTGTGTTTAAGATTTTTGCATAAATATTAAGAAAATATAATTTTTATACAATTTATCTTGATTACATAAAATAGCATTAAATAAAACTAGTTCAATCAATAAGGAAAAGATGCAGCATTTTGTAATTGGTCACAAATTTCAAATGACACTAAATTTTACTTGGAGTGGTGAAATCACTTATTTTGCAACAAAAAAAAAAAGAATTCTTAAAAGATCAAGTAAATTGAAATAGAGGGATTATACATTAACAAACAGTGGTAGTCTAGTGATAAAATAAGAATTTGGGATAAGACATGCATTTGTGGGTTGTAGATTTCATTCCTTTTAGAAACTAAATTATCATGTGATTAGCCATCTAAAATAAAACTTTTCTTGCCTCATTTAGAAAAATATATGCTAATTACTAGTCGGTTTCAACATTTAGAGAATTATTTGGGTCTCGGCCTATATATTTTTAAAATTTTATTTACTTCAGATTCGAATTACTCGGCCTTATTTTTATCTCGGCCCAGACATCTGCGAGTATATAAAAAAGATATATCTAGGTTAAAGAAAGATATCTTATATATTAAAACAGAAGTCATGACTTGATTTCATGTAAGATTTTTTTAAAAATGAACTGTTACTAGAAAGTTATGTTACATTAACTCTCTAATAATATTATCATTATTATATCTTATAATATGCTTAACAATTTTGTTTTGGTAAATTACCCCACACCTTCCAACTTAGTCACGTAAAATATGTCAATAGATATAAATTTAAGAATCTTCTATTATTTATAAGGAAATATGTCAATAATAGTTAAATGCATCCAGAATATATTAACAAAAATCACAGATTATTAATATGTAATATTTATATACCTTAACAAAATTTACACGTTATATATATTAGATAAATTTATTTCGATGTGAAATTTTAAAATTGTATTGTTTAAAAAAAAAGAAATTGTTTAAAAAGTTCCCTTTTAATAAACTTTTTATAATATTAATTTATGAAGCTATAAGTTTAGTTTTTAGCAAAAAATTCTTCGAAGTTTATATTATCTTTGCAAATTAAATTACACTAATATTTAATCAAGCTCTATTTATATTACTTTATCTAAAAATAAAATACTAATCTAACAAACAATAAAATATAGAAGAATAAACAAACACATGTTTGAAAGTCATGTATAATATAGAAAATTTGAAACAATCTATTTGATTAAAACACTTATTATATAATATTATTATGTTTGAAAAAAATTTACTATACATATCGTAAATATGTGATTACTATAATATATACCAATTTACAAGTGAAAACAAAATGTTTATATAACTATAAACGAAAACAAACACCCGCGCGGTTGCGCGGGTCAAAATCTAGTTAGAGTTAAGAGGCAAAAAAAAAAAATCAAACAGTGAGAGGCAGAGTTGAAAACAGTCATGAAAAGGGTCAAGAGGTCTAAGAAACAAGATGAAAGGATTGTAAACGATCCATTTAAGGAGCTTCCTAATGAACTGAACGAAGATATTCTCATGAAACTGCCGCCGAGATCCATAGCCAGGCTCCATTTCGCTTCTAAACACTTGTCATCGATAATCCTCGGCAAACAGTTCACCGAGCGGTTCATGACTCGATCTTCAGCTCAGCCGCGTCATCTTGTCATTGTGCACGGTGGCGAACACTACGTGAAGATGCATCGCTTTCACTCCATCTCTCAAGAGTATCCCCATCGTCATGATTATGGATGTGAAGGGATATGCAGGGATGGAGTTATGTATTATTTAGTTTCTTACAAAGAAAAAAACATCTCTAATGAGCTTTGATCTGAGTTCTGAAGACTTTAATGTTACTAAGCTACCCGAAGATGATACGGTTCAAGAGTTTGGTGAGCTGGTGAATCACTCTGGAAAGATAACCATAGCGACTCTAGGATGTAGCGGACCAGTTGACCTATGGGTTCTGGAAGATGTCAACAACGAAATATGGTCAAAATCTGTTGTTGTGATGCCTTCTGTGGCAGATATATTTGGAATGTCTTATACGTTCTTTAGAGGTATGCTTGGTACTGGGGAGATGATATTAAAACCAATCATCACATCTCCTGAACCCTATTTTTTGGTTTGTTACAATCCGGAGGAGGGAGAATTCAGACAAATTGTGATTGATGAAATTTATAATTTTTGTTATGAATCTAATACTTTTCAAGTCTTTTTCGATCATGTAGAGAGTTATATGGTTCTGTGAAAGGTATGTAATGATCCTTGTTACTGTATTTGTGATATCTGATAGAAAACAATGTATTCAGTCTTTTCATGTTGTATGATTGTGGATTTTATAAACAATTGTATGAGTTGATTGAAGTTTTGGGTTTTGTGAGTTACTAACAGTAACAAGATTCAATTTTTTTTAATTATCGTGAGTGAAAAAAAATATAGCGTTGTGTTGGCTAGACGGGTCTTCATCGTCATTTTGGTTGCCTTTTGAGCTTTGTTACTTGATAAAGAAGCACAACACAGAGTTAGATAAGTTTTGCAAAGCTTCCAATAACTTTTTTCCCCTAAAAGTTCCATTTACCTGGAAAAGTACGAATATGTAGTAATTTACGACTCTTATTACTGGAACTGATTCAACAAATTTATTCAGTCTTGTGGAATATGCGAATGCAAGATGACTTGATTAGAGTAAATTTTGGGTTTTGTGAGAAGCTCATAACAAGCAAATGTTTTTTTTTCGGTTTATATTTAGAGAGGGACAAAAAAAAATTGTTTTGGCTAACTAAGACGATCTTCATCATCAATTTGGCTGCCTTTTGACCTTGTTTTAGCTTTTACACTTTAGTCTTTGTTCCTCTATAATCTAGAGTATACAAGATCGTTCTTACTCGAGTTGTAAAAGTCAATAGATAAGCACTTAATCTAGCATACAAGATCATTCTTGGTAAAAAGTGAATTCAGTTTCCACCAGAAACTCACCTTCTTCAGGCCATTTTAGAAAAATGATTTTTTACCATCCAACTTTATTTTCTGTCGTAAGTTTTCATTGCGACAAAGAAAAACGAATTTTCTGTTAATTTTTATTATAAAGAGGCCCACCTTGAAAATTCCCAAAAAATAAACACCACACTGCAAATAAATACTTCAATACAAAAGGAGGAATTAAATGGCCGTGAAGAAATGAGGGTTGTATTTGCAAATCTCCAAACTCTGTACAAAGATACGAACATGGCTTCATTCTTGTTTTCGTCAAAGATAGAACCATGAAAAAAGCGAGGAGGAGGGAGACCACAGGCACCAATCAACAACGTGTAACGAAGAAAGAAGATGAAAACGATCCGTTTTCAACCATTCCTCTCGATCTGATCGTAGAGATCCTCCTGAAAATTCCGACCAAATCTGTAGCCAGCCTAGTCTTGGTTTCAAAACAATGGCTATCCCTAATACGCGGCAAAGATTTCATCAACCTGTACATGTCTAGATCCTCGAATATGACGCGTCTTCTCTTCACAATCTCCGGCACGTACGTGAGAGAGGAGTTCTTACAAACCTGCTCCCAGGTTGATCCATCTTCTAATGATCATCGTCATAGGTTAAACCTAACTCTACACCGTATGCATGTGTATGCTTTTTCACCACCCGTCCGTGGTTTAATCTGTCGTCAAATGGATTCTAATGTGGTGATTGCAAACCCTAGCACGGGTCAGTTGTTAACGTTACCTAGAGTTAAAACTATTAGAAGAGGTGTATTATCATTTTTAGGGTATGATCCCGTGAATGATCTATATAAAGTATTGTGCATGACGGTACTAGGAGGTGATCAAAGAGGACCGCATGTTGTGTCAGAGGAGCATCAAGTGTACACTCTAGGATCAGGTCAACGGAGATGGAGAATGATTGAATGTGAGCATCCTCATCTTCCTCCACCTCCTTCTTGTTTAGTTACTAAAGGTATATGCATAAATGGGATACTATATTATTACGCTTGGATAAAAAATGATGGAGCCTTGATAAGCTTTGATATGATCTCTGAAGAGTTTAATGTCATTACGTTACCTGAGGATATCAATTGCCTAGTGAGCTACAATGGAAAGATAGCTATATCGAGTTGGCCTACCGTTAATGGTGAGGCTCACGTGTGGGTTCTAGAAGATGCCAGTAAACAAGAATGGTCAAAAGTTTCAATTGTTGTTCCATCTTGGATAGATTTAGTTGGAACTGATTGTGGATTCAGGTTCAGGGGTACACTTAGTACTGGAGAGCTTATATTTTCACCGACCAATATGGTTAAGCCGTTTTATTTTATCAGCTACGATCTCAAGGAAAACAATGCCAAGAAAGTTGTGGTTGAACGACTTGGAGATCCCTATGCTACTCTCGAGGTCTATTTTGATCATGTAGAGAGTCCTATGTTTCTGTCAAATTAAGTTTTATATTTTTTGGTGTTGCCTCTTATTGAAGATTTTAGACATATAGTAGTTAAGTGTGGACCTGGCTATTTTACATTTTGATTTTTTTTTTTTAATTTGATTTACATTTTAATGATGAATATTAGCTTTGTGTTGGCTATAGTTGGATCTTCATCCACATTTTGATTTTATATTTGTACCTTTTGATTTGTAAAGAATGAGTTAATTGACTATTTGAAGAGGAACAAAATGTTACGTACGTAAGAGTGTTGTGATGAAAACTTAATTTAGAATATATACAAGATAACATTTTTGATAAAAGTGACTTCAGTTTCAAGAATGCCCCTGAAGTGCTGGAGTCTGGTTCCCTCCATTCAATTCCGAAATACTCCTTGCTCATTTGAACAGTGATGCACAACATGTTGCAAACGTGTGAATCTGATAGAATTAATACAGATGGAGAGAACGCAACGCACGACATGGTGAGCAACCTAGAGACTTGGAGATGAGAAGACAATGACTAAATTTGTGGACAAAACAGTTTCTCCAGCCGTTATCAGTTGAAGGAAAAGGAACAATGCATCTTAATGAAAACTTTGATCATGTGGAGAGTCCTATACTCCTATGTTATTTTCGTTTATCAGTTTAACGTCGAGGATTTCTCCGTTTGTAATCGACTTCGTCCTTTGGACTTTTAATTTTAATATAAGCATTTGGTGTTAAAAAAAAAAAAAAAAAAGTTAATCCTCTTTGTGTTGCTTTCTCATTTGAAGATCTCGGACAAATAGTAGTTATGTGTGGACGTGCCTGTTTTTATTATTTGATTTACATTTTGAAGAGGGGAAATAGTTTCTTTTGTTGCCTATGCATATGGAATGCTTGAGATTTTTTTATCAAAAGTAAGCAAGTTCCTTACGATGCACATGAAATGCTTATGATTTTGATCAAAGTAAGCAAGTTATATTGCTTTTTGAGCTTTTTTTTTTTTTTTTTTTTGAAACACATTCATTCATTCATAGCTTTGTGTTATAAACAAATAATGTGTCTGTGGATGTGCATATGTTTCCACATTGATTCAGATTCTCATATCTCAACCATGGATGCCTCATTTAATATATTTTCTTTTGCAATATAAAGAAACTATCGACCTTATATTATATATATAGTGCTGTATACATCTATATAAGAAAAAGAAAAAACTCGGCTGAAGCCAGATTGTTGATGCTTGTTGGTACTTCCACAAAAACCGAGTTCACAAGTGCTCTTATAACTCATGCCAAAGTGGACTATACAATTGTAACATTTCTTTCACTCGGATTCAAGAATTTGATCTTTGGAGCCAATTATGCATCTAACGTTGAACGTTAATCAGAGAAAACAAGAAGAGATTGGTGTATTTAGTACAAAACAAGAAGTCAGGGGTATTTAGTACAGATAATATTATTGGGGTATGTTTTGTAATAACTAATGTAATGTGAGGGTATAAATTTCAAATTTATTGGAAGATAAAAGAACACTGAACACCTCTGGAATCTTCTTAAAAACCTAGAAAGCCTATTTATAGCTTCTTCAGATTCCTGATAATCAGACACGAACTCTTGTTTCGCCGACCGGAACTAACCCCGACACAACAAACCCACTTCAAAGTTTTCATTAACTCATCAGAGGAACAAGCTTAGTTATCTGCCATGGCTCCTGATGCTTCTACTGCTCTTGCAGGTCTGCTCTCTTCCTTCTTCTGTAGAAAGATGTATCAATCTCTTTTCATTGAATGCGTATAGATTCCTTGATGGGTTCTGATACTTCTCTTTAGTTGAATTGATCCGATGAATAAAGTTCACTTTTTTTAATTTGCTCTGTTTCTGCTCTCTTCCTTCTTCTAGGTGTTAGAAAGATGTGTCAATCTCTTTTCTTTTAATGCATAGAGATTCCTTGATGGGTTTTGATACTTCTCTCTAGTTGAATTAATCTGATGAATAAAGCTCACTTTTTTTTAATTGGCTCTGTTTTTGGGTATTGAAGAGTGTATAAGTCTTATTGTTAGTTTGAATCTCTAATTTTTTTGTTCTTTAAATTGTTACTTCAGCGAGGGAGAAAGTTCAGCAGTTTCTGAATGCAGCTATTACTGGAAACCTTGAGTTCCTTAAGAGTGAGTTCGTTAATCACATTAACGCCCCTTATGTTTATTTTATTCCATCTCTTTGGCTCTGATGTAACTTCTCCAAGCAGATGTTGCTAAGCAGCTTGATGAAGGAAAAGGCTTAAAGAAAACTGTGGAGAGTGTCAAAGACGCAAACAAACGTGGTGCGCTTCATTTCGCTGCAAGGGAAGGACAGACTGAGATATGTAGATATCTCTTGGAAGAGCTGAAACTTGACCCCAACACAAAAGATGAAGCTGGTTCGTTGTTTCCCTTAACTCTGTTTCCTAAAGGTCATTGCTTTGAAGGTTGATATGTGAGATTGTAAATGATGTTGCAGGGGATACTCCACTTGTTCATGCTGCGAGGCAAGGACAGATTGAGACGGCTAAGTATCTTTTAGATCACGGAGCTGATCCTAATATTGCTAGTGAACTAGGAGCTACTGCATTGCATCATGCAGCTGGGACAGGTTGGTTTGTTGATTACTCCGTTGTTTATTCCGTTTCATTTCTCAGGTCACCAATTGTTGTGTGTGTTTGCTTATCATTAGGGGAAATTGAGTTGATAAAGGAACTGCTTTCTAGAGGTGTTCCTGTTGATTCTCAAAGCGAGTCTGGCACGCCGTTAATATGGGCTGCTGGTCATGACCAAAAAGATGCGGTGGAAGTCTTGTTACAACACAATGCTAATGTAACCTCTTTGTGTATTATATCTTTAGTTGAGTTTCTATCTAAACCATAATCTTCAACGAACCTTAAAGTTTGTTTGTTTTAATGACTTTGCAGCCTAACGCTGAGACTGAAGATAATGTCACACCATTGTTATCTGCGGTAGCAGCTGGTTCTGTGGCATGCTTAGAGCTCTTGGTCAAGGTTTGAGATGTTCCTAACTCGTAGTGTTGTCTTGTTTCGGTTGCTATATATGGTTCTTATTTTTGCTATATATGGTTCTTATTTTTGTTAAATTACAGGCAGGTGCTAAAGCTAATGTGTTTGCTGGTGGTGCAACCCCTTTGCACATTGCTGCTGATATTGGAGATCTTGAGTTAATCAACTGCTTACTTAAAGCTGGAGCTGATCCTAATCAGAAAGACGAGGAAGGCAATAGGCCATTAGAAGTTGCAGCTTTAAGAGAGAACAGAAAGATTGTTGAAACTCTCTTCCCCTTGACAACAAAACCTGAATCTGTTTCAGATTGGACTGTAGATGGAGTTCTCGCTCACAAGGAATCAAACAAAGAACAAGAGGACAGCTCAAGCAAGGCCAAATCTGGAGAGAGTGGGGTCAAGAAAGACCTTCCTGAGGTCTCTCCAGAAGCAAAGGCTAAAGCAGCAGAAGCTAAAGCAAGAGGACAAGATGCTTTCCACAGAAAGGATTATCAGATGGCCATTGACGCCTACACACAAGTATTCATTCAACACTAAAACTACTTTTGAGTCCTTTAATTTTAAGTGCATTTTTGTGATTTTGTGGTGCCATTTGAACCTAGGCAATTGATTTTGACCCTACGGATCATACATTGTTCTCAAACCGAAGCATCTGCTGGTTGAGGTTAGGACAAGCTGAGCAGGCCTTATCTGATGCTAAAGCCTGCAGAGAACTAAAACCTGATTGGCCTAAAGCTTGTTTCAGAGAAGGCGCTGCTCTTCGTTTGCTACAGGTAATAATAACCTGTCTTAGTTATGTTCTTTTGGACTTTGAAAGAGTATAGTTCACTGAGTTATCAATGAATCTCCAGAGGTTTGATGAGGCAGCCAATGCTTTTTACGAGGGAGTGTTGCTTAGTCCTGAAAGCAAAGAGCTCATTGATGCTTTCAGGTTTGTTTTAAAACCATTATGATGTTTTTGACTTTTTAACCGGTTTGTATCAGTTTATAAACTGATGTGTGTGTGTTTCTCGCTTTCATCTACAGAGAAGCTGTAGATGCTGGAAGGAAGTTTCATGGCAAGGACAAGATTACAGACAAATCATAAGATGTTCGGTTGATGTGTGTCTATTTTAGTATCTGTATGAAGTTTTGATCTGCTTCTTACCTTGGTTCTTTGGTCTCTCCCTCATGCAGATGTCGATTTTAAACTTAATTGTGCTAAAAACTTTAAGAGGAACAAAACTTAATTTACAGACAAGTTAATGCATGTTCTTGGTGTGTTAACACATGGTAAGATCAAATTTATGAAGAAATTAGATGAATAATTAAACAAATATCATCGTTGTCATCACCTATTGTTTGTTTATGGCAATGGATGACAGCGTAAAGCATCAATAATGGAGCATGCGTATATCAAAGACATTGTTAATTTTATTTTGTAATTCATTAAAATATTGTTCCCCAACAACTCTACATTTTGCACATGCTCTTGCCCCTTCCACTATCAAACTATCTATTTATAGTTTTTTTCATAAATGTTTCAACGAAGAAATGTCAAGAACATAGGAGAAACTATTATATGGGGTATTAAATTTGTTAGTTTCAAGATCATTAACTTGTTCATGTCACTTGACGATGCACTTACTAGAAACAAATTAAAAGAGAGTAGAAAGATGGTCCAAAATGAATACATTAAGATGTCTTAAGGATACTTACCATATAGACAATTCAAATGCGAAAAAACAAAAGTTGTTCAAGATATAGATGCAACCTAATAAAATATACATATTTACATATGTATATAATATAATGCATGTAACAAAAATGGCTTAATATATAAACTGTAATACATCACAAGAATATTATTATTTATGAATATCATACGCAAACTCCCTGCTCAGAACTGTAGTTTCGAGCCGGTTTGGCTTTTCTCGGTTTCAGACACATCCAACCGGATCTAACTGGTCTTTTTTCTTTTTCCTTTTTGGGGCAATCATAAGAAATGTCGTCGTCACCTTCTGTTCTTGCACTTTTCTAAAGCCCTTGGAGCTGCAATCAAACGAAACTAGATTAACAAAAAGAAGTGCACATAATCTTATACAGTAAAATTTGGATTAATAATACTAACCAAGTCCTTTCGCTTCTGACCCCTTCGTAATTCTTATGCGTTTGCATGAATCAACAAACATCCTGAAAAAAAAATAGTCCAAACAAAACGTAAATAAATATTTTCTCTAAAGCTGCATTAAAACTAAATAAATTATGTAAAAAGGATATAAGTATATATATAAAGTAGTTAATACTTTTTTTTTTGACAAATAAAGTAGTTAATACTTACCCCCAGGGTACGTCCCCTACAAGCATCCAGTCTCCATCTTTATCTTCATAAGTTGGAACGTAATCTGATCCGTTTAAAAGATCGATTAATTTACTCTCAATCATTCCTTGTGGTCCATAGTTGCCTGTAAAAAAAAAGCTTACAATATATTAAATAAATAATTTGAGTTTATAGACATTTTATAATGCATTTTGTTCTTTAATGTTTACCTATGGTAAAAGAGCTGAACATTTTGCTTAATGCGTCGGAGAGATCTTGGTAAGTTTTGTAGAGTTTCAAATCAATTTTTCTTAGGTACGGTGCACCGTCCATGCTAACCTTCACGTAAGCTGCGGTAGCACAGGCGGAGGTGACTCCGCTGCTGCTGGAAGTCTTATCCGTTGCTTCCACGTCATCTCCGGTGGTTGGCTTTTGGCATGACATGACGTTCTTCCGGAAAGATCGTACCGGTGGCCATCCCACAACTTGTGCCCTGAAAATCCGTAAATTTATTAAATTGTTAATTTTCAATTTATTAATCAATGAAATGTTTATATCAAAACTTTGTAAGTCGTATAGTTGATTCAGAGGTGTTGGATATTAGGTGGATGTAGTTGTCGTTGTCAGTTTAATTTTGTAAATATATAAAGTAAAGATTCCTTATGTTTTGTATTTTTATTAATTCTTCCCGACCAAAAACCTAAACATGCACTCATCATCCTAGCACGGAAGGTTGTTTACAAAATCAAATATAATTAATCTTCGTAAAAACTATTGAAAATATAGAACTAAAGAAAAAAAATGTTAAATCACAACCTTATGAGATCTATTTTGCATAATAGTACTCTAACTCTAATTAACCTATTATTTCTATTGTGTTAGAGCCTATATATTCATCTCTGGCTAAACCATGACCGGATCGTATAATCTAATTTTACGAGCCTATCTACAAATAATATAATTATCTCGATACATTTAGGACATCTACTTATAAGTATAAAGAGTCGCCAATATATATAAAGTAAATATTTACTAGAAATATAGATACTTAATCTTACTTGGCCGATGGTTTTAAGACCTTCTCCTTCATATTCTCTAAATCAACTTCAGAAACTGAATCCATCGCCATTGATGAAAGATTTAACTTGAGATCAACGGTCTCAGAGAATCCTCTTTTCCCATTGTTTTTCGCAGGCATTCCTCCTCCGTGATTCTCACCCGGCAGCCCTAACCTCAGCTCCGTTGCCTCAAAATTAATCATTTTGCTTGATAAATGGTTAGAAACAATTAGGTAATCAGAAAACGAGTAAGAGAAAAAAAAAAGTTGTCCTGTTTCTAGGGTGTTTTAATTCTTTTGATGTGTTCTTTTTGTAACTAAAACCTTTCAAGAGAGAGAGAGGAGGATGTGAAATGTGTTGAAACTACAAAGGGATAGATATTGGATCGTGTGTGGTATAAAATATATATCATTGATGTTTATGATTTGAACGAGTGTGATGCTGCCACGTGAATGCCGGGATTGGTTGGACCGTCAAAGGTGTTGTCGGGAGAGGATGCTGTCATGAGTGGCGTCATCATTCTCAGAATAATTGCGGCCAAGCCAGTCGGCAAAGGCCATGTTGGCACAGTTTTTCCTTTTCAGAAATATATCCTGGAAAAATAATAATTAAACTATTAGTATTCAACGTTAAAATATGCATTTTTTTTTTTTTTTTTTTTTGACTAAGGATTTTCATATTAAAAACAGAAGAATAAAAAGAGTTTACAAGCCTGAAGCTATAGTCATACCCACAAGTTAATTAAAGCCCATAGTAAGGAAACCCATAATTTGAGATCAGAATTGACCAGTAGCCCAACAGAATTAGCCCAATCTCAATTGAATTGAAGGACTTAACGATGG